AAGCAACTGTCAACCAACACCAAGGTCAGGATTTTCAATACAAATGTCAAGACAGTTCTACTGTATGGGGCAGAAACCTGGAGAACTACGAAAGCCATCATCCAGAAAATACAGGTGTTTATTAACAATTGTCTACGCAAAATACTTCAGATCCATTGGGCGGACACTATTAGCAACAACGTACTGTGGGAGAGAACAAACCATATTCCAGCGGAGGAAGAAATCAGGAAGAAGCGCTGGAAGTGGATAGGACACACATTGAGGAAAGCACCCAACTGCGTCACAAGACAAGCGCTGACATGGAAGAGGAAGACCAAAGAACACATTACGCCGGGAAATGGAGATAGACATGAGAAAAATGAACAAGAATTGGGTGGAACTAGAAAAGAAGGCCCAGGACAGAGTGGGTTGGAGAATGCTGGTCAGCGGCCTATGCTCCATTGGGAGTAACAGGCGTAAGTAAGTAAGTAAGTCGTCTTCAGACAAGTACTCACCACGTTAGTCTCGACAACCGGACTACATTTCGCAGTTTACTTCAGGTATACGACACATTTCTGGAGCAAATAATGCAGTCGCAGACGCCTTGTCTCGTATAACTTCCTTGGACAATTTCCAAGGTGTCGACCCTCTGAAGCTCGCCCAGCTTCAAAAGGAAGACACCGATCTTCAGCACGAGTTATTTTCAACAACCATTAAACTGCACATTGAACATATGGTTCATGAAAGGAAACCTTATTATGAGACACATCTGTAGGTACGGATCGTCCAGTCGTGCCGAAACATTATCGACGAAACGTCTTTAATATGTTGCACAAATTTTCTCATCCAGGTGTTCGTGCAGCCATCAAGCTTATAGCAGAACAGTTTTGCGAGCCTGGTATGAATAAAAAATTGAGGGACTTGATACGCTCCTGTGTAAGCTGCCAAAAATCTAAGGTTGTTAGATACAACAAATGCCCCTTAGGCTCATTTACATTTCCCTATGCTCGTTTCGACCATGTTTATCTGAATTTGGTAAGACTTTTACCAGATTCAAATGGATACTCTTATCTCTTAACCTGCGTAGATCATTTCACTCGATGGCCAAAGGCCGTGCAGGTCAAGGACATCACTACTGAGACAGTGGCTCGCGCTTTCGTCGGACGGTGAGTAGAAAACTTCGGCTGCCCTTCGACCATCACTACAGATTGCGGACGTCAGTTTGAATCTGAACACAAGCAAGGGGGTTGGCAAAACGTTTTCACCGACAACTGAAAGCTTCAATATCAGCCGAAAACATTTCTTAGTGGACTAACGCTCTTCCACTCATCTTATTAGGTATTCGCAATGCAGTGAAAGCTGACATTGGATACACTGTGGCTCAACTCGTTTATGGAACGACACTACGAATTCCTGGAGAATTCGTGGATCCTTCCTCTTCTTCAATGAACATGGGTATAACCTCCTAAACGAACAGGCTTACAAACGCAATTCGTTCGGTTAAACTTGTTTCCACTCGACGCAATCAACTAATGTTTTCGTTCAGCCTGACTTGCGATATAGTACACACGCCTTCGTTCGTCGAAACTCACATCGACGACTTATTGAGTCAGCATATGGAGGACCCTCCAAAGTTGTTCAAAGCGAACCCAAGTACTATATAGTCAATAAGAACAGAACCAACGATAGCATCAACATTGATCGCCTCGAAGCAGCGTATTTAGAAGGAAATCCTATTCACATCGAGTTTCCTTCCGCGCAATCGAACGACACGACCCCCACACTCATAATACGTCAACCGACAGCCAAACACACGCGATAATACTTAGGGAGTATCTGAAAATGAACTTAAAACAAAGCGTTTTGGAAGAAGAACCCAATTTTAATATGCCTTTGTATTTACACTTCTATTTAAAAAAACCAAGCGAAAAAACCATATTATAAAAATCACCATAATAGTTTGTAGATCTGTACAACTTTGCTATATCTAGTGCACTTTCGAAGTAATCAAAGACTATCTAGAGAACCATGAAGTATCTTTTCACGAAATGGATATTCCCGATACTTAGAAAACAAAGATCCTGACTATTTTTGCTTCCAAAACTTATATGAAAATCTTCGGGCAGCTGCAAACAACCCTGTTGTTTTCATCACTTTAAAGCTATGGTTTCAGTGTAAAACATCAGCACCAACCGTACCTGGTGGGATTAGCTGTCTATCACGCATTTCTGAGGTTAACGAGGTTGGAATGTTTGGGTTACTGGGGTTCGCTTTGTCATACCAAAGGTCTAGTTTCTGGTGTTTGTTTGTTTATTTTGATTGATCGTTTCTCATTGCAACCTTCAGAACGTTGGATACGTATTACTTAACTGTAACTAAGGCCAGTGTGAGTAAATCATTGGGAAGTATACTGACATTTTTATTGTCATCATTGCAAATTTCAGCAACCCTTTTGCTGATAACAAATGTGCGAGTAGTTTTAGCATATGATTGTCATCAATAAGCTGTATTTTACCGAATGTTGTGATTTTGTTTCAGTCTACCACTGGATTTCAGGAAAATATAATGTTCGAATTCCAACTGGCTTTTTTCTTCATAATTGTTATGACTCCTTTTTATTGTTATAACTTTCGTAGTCATAAGTGGAATCATTTGGCGTAATCGTCCCGTCCTACTTGCAAAAGGATTTTTCAAAAGGAAGTCAAATCAATTCCGGGTCACAGACATGAGTGAAAGAGGCATATTGCATACGAAATTGGCATCAATACTATTGATTTTCGACATCCTACTTGACCATGAGTGTTATGTCCCGAGGACAATAACGAGTTGTAACTGTTGGAATTTATTTCCTAATTAATGCTAAACGCACATTTTCATCATGTCTATAAATTTACATGTATGTGTGGAAACACGTACATAGGGAGGAGCAATCGTGATTTGCGATTAAGGGTGGGTGAACATATACCAAAATGGCTGCAGAATCAGATGAATTCCAATGGTGAAATGAGATCACAGGATAGACAGACATCATCATCCATTGCGAAACATTTGATTGAGACGGGTGATAAGGTTGATATCAAATCAGCATTTGTTGTGTTGTACAAAAGCCTTCAAGGACATATACTAAATATTATTGAAGCCTTGGCTATACGAAAATTGAAACCCCCTTTATGTGTTTAAAAGCAATTTTTCCTTACACTTAACCTACCCTGGTAATACTGATTTATTATCCAGAGTGGTATTCACATTTGTTTTTGTGTACTTCAATATTTTTTCCTTTGTTATGACTTACCCTTAACCTGTCTAGTTGACCCTCTACTTTTCATATATAAATGTTCTTAACAAGTATATGTGTGATCAGATTGTTCGAAATGTATTGCGCAAATGTATCACATAATTCTGATAAACTACGTCTTCTCATTGCATTATCGAAATTCATCATGTAATTGTTTAGTAACTAAATCGGTGAGACTATAATTAATGGACGACATTTGAGCAACGCAAAGGTGACCCTGAGGGTGTTCGCCTAATAACTAGGACCAACTGAAGGTTATAAACCCGTGTGATTACTTCTAGTTGCGATTTACAGTTGGCATTTAAGGTTAGGAATAATATTTAGGGTTTTCATCATCAACTGAGATCAACGAAAATGCGAAAACTCTATTTCTTCAAATTGATGAATGAATCTCGCACCAAAGCCGAAGAATTGTTATTATATACTTGATTGGTTCATCCATAAATTATAGTCTCGCAGTTATATTATCATAGTGGTGTGTGAAGACAAGTTCTAACAATGATGGTGCATGTTCTAAGACAATGTGTATTGGTTTCGCCTTAAATTGTTCAAATGCGCACTGAATAATATTTAACAATAGACTGTCGTCAATACATTCATTTGAAGTTGTAAGTTCTAAAGAATGGACGTGTGACGCACTGAAATCCCCAATGACAAGTTAAAAGTCAGTTAGTTTCCACGTGAAGATACGATTTAAGATAGAGTCGTCAACTTCACAATGTGGACTTCGGTGTGTCCTTTCTGTAGTCACCAATCCATGACTAGATCGAATTTGTCCCTTCCAGACCTACCTGGCAAGGCTTACTGCTTTAATAATATGTCCTTTTAAGGCCTCTTCTGTGAGCAGATTTCTGACGACAGAATCCGCCGATTTCAGTTCGTATGATTGTCATCTCGCGGTCTACGTCTGTTTTGAGACCTTTTAGCTCCAAATAGTTAGACCAGGGACGGATTTGACTTCTTTAAAAATCGTCTCCTCGGCTTTCGATTGTGTTGTCGGTGTTTCCAATTCACTGAATACAGGAAGCCTTTCTTTAGTTGTCCATTTTTGACTTTCAGACCAACGAGTAAGAGTTGAACTGACACCACTAGTGGTTACATTTTTAATCTCCTATTTTACTGCCAGATTCACTCATCGAGTTGTGCCACTTGGCAACTTCATCTTCAGGGCAAGCAGACCCAATACTTCACCTGGTATTCTTCGCGTAACCAGGGTGAGGCATCTTTTAGCAACGCGTATACTCACTCAGTGATATATTGATACAAATTTTATGAAATTATCTCTTACAGATGTTATGCTGTGTGATGCCCTCATTAGGGGAGAAGAAAAATGTTCGGCAGCATCGACATCTTTGAATGACCATTCCAACCAACATACTAGAAAAATTATCGCTTTTATAATCTAGCTAAGAACCTACTAACTGCTTAGAGCAGTCACTGTTAATACATCACTGATGTGAAACGTATACCACAAAAAGTTTAACAGGCAACTCAAAGTAACTATTTTATAGCTTCAGGATACTGCCAAGCCACTTTGTTAATGAGTTTTGTGCATTGTGTTTACTTAGCAGAGCCTTAAAATACGTTGGCGAACTCATTTCGTTCAAAAGATATAAGAAGCATTATTACTTCAGTTGGTGAATGCATTTTGTAGGAAAGTGGATATCATTATTCATATTCTATATTTTCCTCATTAAAACTCAAAAACTTTACTCTGGTTTGTTTAGCGCATCGATGTCACAGTTTCGCGCTCACTTTAGGTTCTCAACTTACCGCGTGTTTTACAGGTTTTCCTGCCTTGGACAATGTTACTTCCTCTGGCAACTCGGAATAGTATATTTGAGAAAATCATTCAAGATGGTGTGTTAACGGCAAGGAACGATACCCGTCCATGCTACACTCATCCGACAATCAACGTTCTAAATCTTTATGTCATCAAGACAATGCGATCATTAAAATCTCGAGGATATGTTCGTGAACAGTACGCTTGGAGAACATACTATTGGTTCCTTACAGCTGATGGGATCAATTATTTGCGTGAGGTAAGATGTTACTCTGTGTTCTTTTTCCTTAGGTCTTGCACTTACCTTCTGATATTATTCCAGCTACTCTAAAAGCTCCACCCCGGGATATTCGAACACCGGCTGTAGGAATGGATCAGGGTGGACAGCGTGGTCCGTCTGATGGTCGTGTCGCGTTTAGAAGAGGACCGGTCACTCCTGGAATGACTGGCTTCGGTACTCCTGGTAAAGATGCAGCCATTGGTGATAGCGAGGTTCATTTCCATGGAGGTTATGGTAGAGGTCGATCTATGTAAATATATCTTAATATATTGATGCTGGAATCAGTGAAGCTCTTCTATTTAAATGGTGTATAGGTGCTCGACTGTATAGATCTAGTAAATGCTGAGAACAGTCATATATCGAGGGCGATCGTAGAGACAGTTCTGGGTTGTCTATGGTCAAGTAGTGTCAGTAGGCACCCAAAATTAAGTAAACAGTACTAGATTTAGTGCCAAAAAGTGCAAACACCCATAATGTTCCTTACTAATTTGTATACTGACCTACTTTAACAGCTGAGTAAGTTCTAGGTTAATCGATCAGTAACTGCACTGATGCATCGGTCGATACAAATTTCCAGGTCTCTAAATACCGTCTGATTTTGTTCGACCGAACTCTGGGAAAATTAGAAAAATGGAAAACCTCTTGTTATCACCAGTATCAGTGTGGAATTTCAAACTCGAGATACTGTATCAGATTCAGCTGTAGCATGTGGGTGTTACTCAGTGTAGGTTTATCTGCTTGTCAGGTTCCATTTCATACCTTATCTCCCTACTCGTGTTGTGTTTACGTTAGCGTTCGATAACTCGTTTGTGCTCAGATCGTGCATGCTTCAATGTGTTACTCTTAGTAATTTCAAAACTTAAGCTTCGAAGTAGATCAAATGTTAGTTTGCAGGCCCTCGATGCATGAGGTTGCGTTACTAGTTATTACATATGTTGATTACTAGTGACAGATTTGCTTAGTGTCCTATCTTGTCTAACGAAACATCTTAAACGATGTATTGAGTACGCTATTTTCGGTTATATATAACTTTCCTGAAATGCAGTGTCAATATGGTACTTTGATTGCATTATTAATATGGAGTCAACCTGCATGAAGCTTGATATTAGGCTCTTGATGTCCTTGATCTTGATAATTTAAACGGACTGTTAATTAAAGCGTGAATAGTAGTTTCAGTAAATATCGTCATTTCATTCTATTTGTGTGTTCAAATAAATAAATAATATAATTTTGACGGACAATTCTTGTCACAAACTAATGGGTCTGTGCCTTTACCCTTTTCTTCCCTGTTGGGCTCAAAAATGTATTTGGTTAAATAATGGAAGCTTTGCTGGTGATTACCACAATAAAGTTAAAAGTAATTGTAATCCGATCGGTTATATATCAACTGCAATGATAATAATTGCAATGGTAAACGTACTTTGAAATTTCATAGTGATGTAAAAATTTTTTCGAATAGTGATCTCAGTGTTAGCCCGTCAAAGCTGAAAATTTTACTGCATGTCGGAACACGAGGTATTTCTAATGCCACATTGTCGGGATGCAAATAATCAGTCAGAATGTAGCAGAATCCTGATGGATGAAAAACAAAAATGTCCTCGAGTCCGTATTAGTCTTTCATGACTAAGGCTTTAAGTAGTGCGTTTCCTGTGTGTTATGAAGTAGTTATGGTTTGATTTTCTCAGTCTGGATTTCGAGTTCTAAGTACTAATTTCGCTGTTAATCGTTAAGTCCTTGTATTTAAGCTTTCAGTTGGAATTATAATGTTTATCAGAGCACCATAGGGGTCAATTTTTGACAGTAGTATTAATTTATTAGATCTATCCTTTAGTGTACGTAAGTGTAGGCAAATAAGATGACCAAGCGTATTTAAATTTATGGACGTAATATCAAGATTATCTAGTTACTAAATTAAGCCAAAATATTAGGAACTTGTAAAAAGCCGTACACGACCGGTATCAAGCATTTAGCGCCCGACTTCTACGGACTTGCTCCCTAATTGTCAAGACTACTCCTAACCTAATTCACTTTTCGGGTCCGTCAAGAGATGTTTTTTCACGGTGTAAATAATAGTGTAGTGCAGCCATCCTCGTACCTCTGACAACACTCAATTGAATAACTGGATTTACGGTAGTGATGGCACAGATTCAACTAGTAGTTGTTCAAACATTGTCTTAGTCATACACAACGTATATCTTGCAACACGTGTATTGGCTCAAGTTGCCACATCACATTAGCACACCAAGATAGAGTTTTCAAGACAAATCGGGCAGTATTAGAAGTAGCAACAGCATCAGTCGTAGTATGAAAGATTAGGTATAGAAAGTATGAGATCTCGGGATTCAGGAACTAGGGTAAGATATAGTGGATGCACCTGTATCATTGCGATCTATTCCGATTTGTGTCATACAACATCTCCAACCATTGGTTACGAGGATCGTGCACATCCCGGCTGGGTGGTATTCATCTTGTTACATAGGTCAGTCCAACAGTCAATGACTTCATCGACTGATGCCATATCTTAGTTTGGCCACTCCTAGCTTTCTTTCAGTCTGTTCCTACACCAAACAATGTGACCCATCGAGGTAAACGGTGGTTGGACTTATGTCATACCCTAGTCAAGGTAGTTGGCGATTATTCATTACTTCTTATATCTATTTGCCATTCATACCTGGTGTCGTTTGCCTAACCTCGTCATTGTCCTGTCACTCGATGTTCCCAACATGTATGAGGAATGCTTAAAATGTACATATGATGGAATACTAGTAATCTACAAATATTCTATGTTCTGAATGGTCATGTTTCCCACCCATAAAGTGGAGCAGAGCAAACTGATGCTTAGTAAACTCGTTCCTTAGTTGGAAGGTGGATATTTCCCCACAAGTGATGCAAGCTGGCAAAACCCAACAGTGCTTCATGGGTTCGTGCTGAAATTCTGTCAGACACCAACACATCAGGGCTGTAAAGACTTCCAAGACAAATGAAGTGATCGGCGCTTTCAACTGCTTCGTTTCCTTTTATTGGTTCAGACGTTGACACAGGCCAGTCCTGAAGCAACATTTTACATTTAGAGGAAGGGAATTACATCACCGACATGCGAGCGTCCTTGCTCAAGAGAATCAGAAGACTGGATTCTGTAATTGTCTTCACCAAACCGGATTTTGTCATTCAGGCATTCGAAGTCAACAATTGAATTCTCTGTTAGGATATAAATTCCTGAAGAGCCAGACGACAAGGACGTCATTTTTAAAAGAATATCTATGACGGGGTTAGGATGATTTGAGAAAGTGGATAAACCTGACGAACACAGTTTCGGTAATAGTTCACCGCAAACTTAACCGTAAGTGTTTAGTTAGAGAGCATGTACTCGGTTGATTTGGATCTTTGGTACACCTTTTAATGATAGAAGCTACCACACTATCTTAATCAGAGCCGTAGTTTCTAACTAAGTTCATATATAGACTACAGATTTTAAAGTTAAATGCAGCCTTAAAGTGAGCCATTGAATATTGATTTCTGAAATACAATCCACAGAATTAGTGAAGTTCTCCAATATCTAGCATCTTACCAGTTTCAGAGCGATCAAATTACTTTTCACTTGATAGCATACTTAGGAAAATAAGTACGTAGAAATCCAAAGCTATTCAAATATGTCAGAGCTTCAATAGCGATGAGCTAATGATTAAGATAGAAGTAAAAAATTGATAAGAAACTTGGTTCAAAAGCGGATAAAGTTGAATAGTTAGCACATTTGCAGCCCTTAGTTGACTGCAATCGAGTTTGATTCCGTGCACCATACTTTTAAAAAAACACCAATTCACAACCTTGGTATAAAAAGCCAGATATGAATTGCACTGAAGGAATATATCTTAAGCATGTATTTGTAAGATGACAACCATGTAAGTGAATGAAAATGGTTTGAGCTAGATTGTTTAGCGGGACTAAGAATATATACGAAAAACACATAGTAGACAAAATATAAACACACGAACAGACAAAGATATAAGGAAAATGTATAGTTTGTCGTATTTTGACCCTATCGCTAAAACATTTTGTAAATTAATTTCTGGCTGGGGTGGTTGGAACATTTGTCTGTCCATGTGTATCCGTTCTTTATTCTAAAGGTTGGACTGAATAGTTTCAATTTCTATCCGCTACTAGTTCTTAGTATGTATGTTTTTAATTCAGTATCGTCATTGCTCCATCGTCCCTGTTTTTTGAACCATGGCACGTAGAATTGGCGCATTACTGTGGTACATTTTGGTTTGCCCCGTTTTTGACCTTCGATTCGAGGATAAACGTTCGTCAGTAGTTTCGAGAGAAACTACGTAATACGCTAAACCGACATATCGTTTGTTTAGAAGTTGTTCTACGTGAACGTAAAATGATTTAAGTATTTCGAGGAGGATATATATGATTTTTATCTGCGTCAATACTTCCGGTGGGGTGGTTCAGTAATTAAAGCATTGGACTTTGAAGTACTTAATGTCAGGTTCAAACTTCACACCACCTTCTGTCCAAGCAATTAAGTAGTACTACTGACCCTCACAATCATAGTATGTCCTAAAGCCAAATACATGAGTCTGCACCTGATAAATGAGGTAGTAATATAACGATAATAGCCTTCTATGGAGGTTGCGCAACTATTGCGGTACTTTATAGTCTCCCCTGAAATAAATTGAAAAGATTTCATCCCGTCGAAAAATAAAGTTTATAAAAAATTGAGCCAAAACAAAGGATATTTGTTGAAATTCACTATCAGAGCTGTATCCAGATATTTGTATATATAAAAATGTCATCTGAAAATGTTCTAGTATAGGTTAGTTTACTGTCATCATTAATACTACTGTTATTACCATCAGTAGTAGGTTTAATCGATACAAATTTGAAAAAGTCAAACAGTTAGCTCGCCAAGCCTCATTTGTGCACAGCAATTAGATATGTATGTGCGTGTGTGCGGATGAACAGCACACACATATATATAGGTAATATAGAAAGCATCTCAGAAAAATTTGGCAATTATTTCGTTGATTTGATAATTGGCATATTCAGTAACAAAAAGATTGGTAAGAGAAAACATTGTCAGCAAATAGAAAAGTATTCTGAGTAAAATGATAGGATTTGGACATTTTGTAGTTGTGGTGTATATTTTTGGAGCAGCAGTCGAGAAATATATATATCGTTGTGATTATTGATAGTCTTCTGAATTACCCGTAAAGGACAATTGTTAAGTTAGAAAATAAAAAAATCTATATCTATAATAATCAGTGTATGTAGTATCTACTATTTATGTGGAATAGGAAAGTCAGATGAAGGTGAATAAGGTGTCCTACGATAGGCTGGTTCCTGTGTGTTAGGCACTGGATGATAGTTTGTTCGTCTTGAAGTGACTTTTCTATTGTCATGATAGGTTGTTTGAATTGGTGAAATCAACGGCTGTCTTTGCTTTGGTTCAGTTGAAGTGTATTGACCAAGTCTTTGGGTTGGTTCTGTAGGCGGTACTTTTGTTCGTCTTCGCATGAAACGTTTACGTTTAAAGAAACCGGCCTAAAATAATGCAAGTTAATATTATGTTAATCAAATTCACATTATTTGTATGCTAGATTTGTAAATAAAAATAAGCTATTTAGTTGTTATAGATAAGTCGAAAACTAAAAGTTTATTCGGATGACATCATCAACTGTTTGTTTGATATTGGCAAGTGGGATCAGGACCAACCTTGTTCAATGTTTAAATTCGTATTGTCTGTTATTATTGACAACATTTATACGCTTTTATCCTTGTTAGTCATCTCTATTCTTAACAAATGAGGATAGTTTTGATTTGATCAAGGTAGAGTTAATCATTGGAATTCCTAAGTTTCATTCATTTATACTTTATTCAGACTTTTTTGGTGAATGAATTCTAATCACCTATCGATTCTTTGCACGAATACTTTTATTTAAGGCTTTTTATGCGATTCCCAAGTGAATTTTAGGGGTAGCCTTTTTTAGAATCATGGCAATAAACAATTCACTGTTTACAAGCATAAACTGAACAAGATTTCTTCTTTGAAGTGGCTTCCACTTTACTGTTTAGCTAAGATTTACTGATATGACAGATAGAAATGATTATTGCCTATTAGTTGTCAGTGTGAGATAATACTTAACTCACAATAAATTTCTTTGAATATTTAGACAAAAATTAAAAGTCCTTAATCAAATCAATCAGTCTAAAATTTACTAATAATTACGCTGAATTACATTAACTTTTGGGATAATTGTTGTGGTCGAAATTCATTATGATTTCTCTTTCCCAGCTCTAATGGTTACTACTTCCAATTAAGGGGGAATCAGTTTATCAACCAAAATAATGCATGTATCATATGCTGTAAACAACAAATAATGATTTTTAGAATTAATACTAGAAAAACAAGACCCAACAAAAGCATGAACCGCTAAGTTAAACCAACAATGAAAATCTGGAAGCACTGGAATGTCGTTTCGTTCTGGTAAGGGACTCCCCGACGGTTCACATCCACGATCTAGCACGTGGGACTCGAACCCAGGACTTCCGGGGTCACGCGTGAACTCTTAACCTGTAGACCACTGGGCCGGAATCCAACGGTGTTAGTGTCTAACTCCAATCAACCCAGGGCAATGCGCAACCACTTCCATTAGTTTCGGTGGGTAACTGCCTCACCTGATACGGTTTAGCTCCACTGATAGTTTAACCCTAATCGGTTCATGATTTGAATTGAACTTAACAATATCCACAACTTGATAATAAATATTTTGATTATTTTTCAAATATTATAAATATATTGATAGTCAACTTACTTTATAAAGTATAATAACTAGAATAGATAACAATAGTAAACCTCCAAATACAGCTAATCCTATGTATAATGCCATATATTTTGGAGGGATTGGTTTCTGCTCTAAATTATTAAATATATGAACTTCAATCTAGTAGAATTAAGAAGAAACAAAAAATGAGTTGGATAACAAAGTATAAGAGAAGTGGAGTAGTAGTTTTATTATTTTCGTAATTACCCAACTAAACTGGAAATGCATGACAACAAATGGAAATATAGCAATGTAAAGGAGGAATATTCGAATTAGAGAGGTGAAGAAGGGGAAGGAAGGGCTTTTGAAAAAGGAAAGGATCTTTCCATGCAATAGAATCATTAGACAAATGAAGTTTTTAAAAAATTCTTGATGATATTAATATATATGCTTGTGTATATGAAAGGAACATGCGAGTATACACAAATTTTTCACGTTTAGTAAATGGAATTTATTTCTGGTAATGCATGATATCAATACTCTTACTTTAATGTAAGAATATGCTTCACATTTTCAATGATTTTATATATTTAATCTGAAAAAGTTTTCACACCGAGTTACAGTAAAAGCGAAATTATTAAATAAGGAGTTATAAGCAGATATAGTTGGTGGCTAGCGGTGGAATCCAGGACGCGCTCGGGTGCGACCAGCTGAAGAGTCCCAAATAGGACGAAACGCGCATGCTGGATTCCACTGCTAGCTACCATCCATCTTTGCCTATAGTGCTTGCGACTTAAAACAATATTTAGACAATCCGCACTGGATGCAAATATGCCGATAACAGACTGATCAATTGCAGTTCTAAACATCAGTGGGAAGATCCAAACAATCAATATAAAAACGAATCAAATTATAAATTGTTTTGATGAGGATGGATTAAACCTAGTCGTAAGATTGTAAAATATATGCATAATCCATATTATGATTAACTTTCGAATCAAAAGTGGTTATTAAAATAATGAACTCAGCTGTCTACAATTCTGGATAGACAGGTCGTGGTTAACTCAGAAGGCAATAACTGTTGTTGACAAGTTTAATCAAAGACATGGTTATCTTTTAAGAGTTTATTCAAGCTGATAGCAATAACCATTGTTGTACAAGATTTATGGTGAAAATCTGTAACTATTACATGTGGTTGACAATGATGCATTTTGTACAAGCTATCTGAGTAAATCAATCTAAAAATTGTAGTAAAATTACCAGTAAAATCAAATGAATAACAATATACAAGTTGTGTTTCACACGTACTGAATTTTAACACACGAATGTGTCCACATGCAGAAAAATATAGCGAACAAAATGTTAGACAAATACATGATTACACATCTTTATTCATTACATTTTTTAGAAAGTAAATTAATCAACAGTAAAATTTTTAATCAGGATTTTAAATAGTCAACATAAGTTGAATACGAGTAAAGATGCTTTTAATCTACGGTATCAGTGTTCAAATACAGTGATTCTTTAATATGAAATTCTATATCATCAGTGAAATTAATGATGGTATGAAAAATTTAAATTAATTAAAATCTATACTGAGAGTTAAGTTAGTTGTGAAGTTTATCTCAATTTCTAGGTAGGCTTCGTCACATCTGTCGACCTCAGTTGGTGAGTGAACTATTATTGGAAATCATACAAGATATGACAAGTGTTTTGTACTAGCTTGTGACTCTTCAACAGTGCATATTTATGATCGCACTAGAGATCAAACTTGTTACCTACAGCGTTACATTTTGACTATCGAGTCAGCTTCTAATGATCTAAATTTCAGACTTCTGTCAATTGTTGTGTGTCATCAGTGATACTTTCTCCATTTTCGATATTAGTAAAAGACTAGAAAATCAATTATCCTCTCTTTAATTTCCTGCGCTCATTAATTATATGATAGATAGTATTTCTAGAATCTCGTTAATAATCATAGTTGTTGAAAAATTTATCATCACACCAATACGTACTTTTGTATGTCCCGAATATTTTTAACTTACGTGCATGATCTGTAGGAACAATGGATTTGTAAGTAAGGATGAATAACCATTTCACTACCGAAGGTTGGTAAAGTTATATTTGTGGATTAACTGAAGTTGAAGAGTGTTTAAACCCTGAATACTAAATGAACAATCAGTTTGCAGCTAAACTTGGAAATCGTGAATTTGATCAAACTAAGTACCCACGGTATACATTTTTAAAGTCATAGAAGTAAACGGATCGGATATTCATTGTCTACATAATTAAAAATAAGGCATACTAACATCTACCTATATAATTGACTAATACTGACCGTTTCATGGTTTATAATACCGGATATACAACTTGTCAGCTTATAGTAACTAAATTTTTTAAAACACTAAAATGTATGGTTAAATATTAAGTACATGTATAATGAAATTGACAATCGGTGAACAAATAAAAATATCCATATTTTTCGACATGCAGTTATATGACGATAATGACGCGAAACACAGATAAATGTATATAAACGAACAGTCGATAAACAACAGATATAGATAAATCCGTATATTCATTTTTAGATATATACATAATTTTATAGACAAATCATATTTAAAAAAAAATAGTAAGCGGTATTGTTCAATTTAAAAATGATAAGAATATTCATATTAATTAGGGAAATGACAAAATCAGTACAATTTTTCATTTCGTTTCAACAAAAGAAAAGATAAAAACAGAAATTAAGAAGAATATTATTATTACTATGATTGTACAAATTTTGAGGACAGAAATATAATCCGTAAACCTAATAATGAACATTCCATTGTTATTATTATTATTATTATTATTATTATTCAGTATTTGGCCACAATCTAAGAGAAATAGTCTACAAAAGAGATTCAAGGTCTGATATCAATCATTAAATATGAACTGTTTGTTAATTACTGGAGATTTGTACATGAGTACCAGTTTATCTTTACTGTGATATTCAAGTGAATATTTTATTCATTCTATGCAAGAAGGCATTTTTAATCTTACAATAACTTTAAATGATGGTACTCCATTTATTATTTAGATTAGAACATAATTTTGCTAAAAAGGCAAATACATATTAATTTAATGATGAAAGAAATTTATATAGGTTATATGGTGAAATTCTATTTCATAAAGTTGTGATTACTTTAGAAGACAGAATATATTACTCATCTTAAAATTTTATCGGTGTTTACGGCATTGGGAACAAAAGGAACTTTAAAAATCTTTTGAGCTATCGATTTTCTTATTTTATATAATTATTTGGTTAGTTTAAGTTTTACCAAGTATATTATTTTATTTAACCATTGGATAGGTTAACATTTTTAAATCTTAGGTATGTAAGTGAACTGAATATTTAATTTGTTCTAGTTCAAAACCCTTCACTTGATATAAGGTCAAATCAAGGACCATTAAGTTTTATAGTAAACATTATCATTCAGCTACCCAATTAGAACCCAGCTATTGATAATAAGGATCCGTTCATTTGCCAAATACAATTGATCGAAATAATGACTAATTTGTTAATAAACTTGATAGCCTAGTCTGAAAGTTTGATCGCCGATGGAGTATATAATTTTGTAACATTTCATTTCTAAATTAGAAAACGAATATTTATTCAGTGCTTCCCAGTTTATACGGATTGTGCAAATAATGTTAAATCGTGATGAAAAATATCCTCATATTAGTCGATTTCTAGAAAAAAAATTTACCTGAATATAATTATTTAACACTTGTACAATCTATTCTATGAAATACAACAACATTAATGGACTTCATTAATAGTCATTTAAAACCAGTTTATATTAACTTGAAACAGTTGAAAATAGTTTAGATTAGTTGAATACAAATTAAAGTAATTACGATTTGTAGCTCAGAATTAAAGATAATAATCATTATTCAAATATATATAGGCAACTGAAGAGAACAATTGAGGTACCGATAATGTTAGAATAAATTAATATGATCGTAAACATGTGTAGTTCGATCAGATAACTAGGTTTTTTGAAATTCATTTTAAAAATGTCACCACTGCCTTACAATGCTGTTTAAAAGTCATTGCAAGTTATACACTATTTTTCCAATACATTTGTATTTATCATAATTTATTTACATGTATTCACGTTGCTTCCTAGTTTTCAAACATGGATGTATTTCTAGCTACTGTGGTGTCATTTAGATAAAACAATAATAATAGTTTCATATTTTCAATGTTACCTTTCCATAAAGCTGTCCGATAAATAATCTCAATTAGAAAAACGAGTCATTTTGTCAGTCCTGTGAATTCTACATCATGCATTGTTTTACGACGCTAGAAATGCTTGAGAAAAGCGGAGAGATGGTCAATGTATGACATGGTACCGTGATATGAAGGAAAGTTGTACAGGACTGGCATCTGTTGGCCCTTCATGACTCTGTAGTTGAGGTTCTACAAACAGCCCGACACAGTAACCTGAGACATGATCCGATATTGATGGAATAAAAGCCAGTAAAAGTCTTCCTGTAATTTTCTTTTACTTTACAAAAATGAGAGGAACTTTAATTAAAAAAAGTCTTTCTGATAATATAGTTCTTGATTGAACTGCCTTACTAATGGTATACTACCTTTGTTCACTTGTTTCTTTTCATTTATTTAGTTTGTTTTTAAATTATTCTCGCCTTCCTTCCCCTATCTCTTTACACTCACCCTCTCTTATTTTGTAGCGCATATTTATTTTGGTTCCCTTTTTTACCAATATTTTTGTGTTTAAATTAATAAAAAATGAATCAGTCGGTTTATAAATCTTTATTATTCATGATTTATTCTGTATTAAACCTTTTCATTGATGTTGACCGATTATCAAACAGTCAGGTAAGTTTTCACTAACACATTATCATCAGAAGTTCAATATGTAAAAGTGATATACAAATCAATGATAATCTAATGTAGTAGTCTAATCAATTTCATGGGTCAACTATTTTACTAAACAGGCAGTTACTGCCATATATGTTACTGTTTTCAATTTACTTAACCAATCGTTTTTACCAGTGACATATATTTACACACTTTCTTAGAATGTTTACAACCTCTTGCGAATTTAATTTTTGAGAAACTTAAGAAGATCCATCGTGATAGTTTACATATTTCCCTCCTCTTTTGTAATCCGGAGAAACACAAAAGGCAAATACTATAGAATTCAGACATCAAATATATTCCAAAGATGAAAAGAGATGCCATAGCAGCAATGTAGATTGTAAAAAAAGTTACGGGTGAATATGAATAGTAGTTTATCACTGTTCTGAAACTTTTCTATAGATATTTTCTTGAATATTCACAAGTCCAGTACATAAATAAAAGTATTTTTTTGTAATATGATATATTTCATGATAAGAATCCTTTACTGTAATCAGACATCTGGTATTGAATGAAGTGAGTATAATTATTATGATTACTTTGTCCAAATTTCGAGTATACTTTAGAGTTTATCAGACAAACAGTAAAATAAAGTAGGGTTGTAATTTGAATACCTTGGGAATATTGTTTCCAACAGAATAATTTCTTGTGATACTCGAAATAAATACTAAGAAGAATTTCACTTATAAAACTGTCCAATGTGAAGATTAATAATTCTGACACTTATGTTAACTTTTCTTTTTGACGTGTAAAATACAATACACTTAGTATGTGTTGCAATCATTGAAGTATCATTTTATCGAAATTAATCTGAAATCTCATCTGTTTAACTGCTGATTACTACAAGCTATTGTTACATTAATTTTGAAATTTATCGAATTTAAACAATAAAGTATACATAACAGTTGGTTTGGGTAGAATCTTTATGAAATCTATCATTGAAATTTCTTCGTCGGTTTCAACTTATAAAGATAAATTAAATTTCAACTATTTGCGTATTCTGAGTGTAACAGCCTCAAAATACTATCATACTCGTTATTTGACCGATATTTTAATGTAATGACAACTCAATAATAGATGGATAAATTTCTTGGCCAAAAAATTACAGAGTTCTTTGGTAAAATATGACAACCAGACATCAAATACTTTATTTACAAATCTTTCATCTATTGTCCTTTACATCCTTGATGATTTTTTCAATTCTTAATTCCTTTCCATTCCTTCTTCTGTTTTTTCCAGTTCACTCTTCTCAACCTTCTTTTGACAGGCATAACACTTCTAGTCGGTGTTACATACTACTTATATCGACAAGCACAAGTAGAATATATCACAGTATTTCATTTTTTATTTAGTTATAATTTAAATATATTATTCAGTTATAATAGGTTTAAGGATGTTAACAATTGTTATTTATTTAGGACAAAATTCACCATCACTATTATTATTAAATTACTTAAAGCTAAAATAATGCATAATTGATTGAAAAATAAAATCAAGTGGAAACACAGATAAAATCTGTGTATAATTCCATTGACTTACTGTATCTTGTGCATAATCCGAACCGCCAAGGTCAATGCCATATTTAACATCAGCTTTCCATGTTGCAGTCAGATGTAGTTTAGTTAAAAATACTTTTAAAAAGTCCTAATAGTCAATAAATGAATAAATAAAAGACAAGTTGAGAAAGAAGGTGAATATTATTTGAAATTATTAGTATAGGAGATTTGTAAAGATAGTTTCATTTTTTGGCTAATATTATCGACCGTTTTTTAAGGTTAAATAACTATTGGAAACCAGATAGCACTAGCCAGTTAACTCACCGAAGGTCTTGGAGGTCAGTGATTTCTTTAGTTGGGTTATGGATGCTCACTGTTGAGAAGTCTCATGATAATAGCACAAAACAGCTATTTAGTGCTTTTCCGGTTTCTATTAGCTGCCTAATTGAAGTTCGTTAGTAATATGAATTATTTGGAGTTATCAATATAGGTGCTCATAGTAACTGTTGAATTTCGTAGTTAATATAACGAAGTGACCTTAGACAACCACAAAAAATAGAACAGAGCTGGACAACTGTTTCGTCCTAAAATGTGATTTTTCCTGTATTGCACATCCACGACACAAATGGGGGTCACTTCCATAGTCTTCAGGTTTCACAGCCAGAACTTAACCTTTGGACGAACGCGTTGGAAATTCATAGTTGATATATCTAACTTCAGTTCATATTATGAAATCAATTTTACTTATGAACGAATTATATTAGTTCACTTGCTGCTAATTGATTTATACTTATTTGTATATCACTAGGCACAAAAATGAATACTCTACAGATTTCGTTGTTATCTGTTACCTTTGTTTTTCTAATTTCTGGTTAGATATCCAAATTGCTTTTATGCATATCTAGTTCAAAGCGATTGTTCAGTACTCCTAAGTTTCAGTTGGTTGTTTATTTAAGGCCAGTCCATGAAGTAAAATGTTTCAAAGTAAGTTTGATCTTGCTTTCTTTGATATTGGTTGGATGTCGGCGGAACAGAAACCTGATCAAAGCATGCTTCAGAAAAGATCGCGCTGGAGCAAGCTAAACGGTTCATTTTCAAATAGTTAGCGCTAGTGGATGAACTGAGAAGACTCTAGAATATTTATGTGCCGGGTTTGTCTGTACATTGACATTTTCTTACGATATTAATTAACCTAAACCTGCTGTTTTACTTTCGTCAGAGAGTTCAAAAATGATGATCATCAAAGTCCCTAGAATCCCAGAAAAATCTAGAAAATGTTTATCTGATCAGCAATGAATAGAAGCGTCTCCAAAATATCCAGAAATTGACGGGTCACGTGCCACATTTTTGATTAGGTAAATACCTATGCCGTCACTATTTTTTTATGTTCCCAAAAAGCCTTAGAAGAGCAAGGTCACACAGAACTCCATAAATACTCTCGATTTTCTGTACAAAACTAACTTTGGAATAAAGCTTCTACTAAGATTTCGAACCTTTTCACTATTATTTGAGTTGAAGTGTAGAAGTAGTCTGAGGCTGTAGGAAACGTCTAGAAAGTCAGGTTTAAGCATTCCAGTATCAGACTTAGCGGTTTGGAATATATTTACGTTCTGTTCAAGTTGTATTTTGATTCGATTAGTCGAGTGAAGTGAAGTATCCGACAATACTATGCCGAAGAAGAGTTAACATTAGTGCATCACTGGAAACTTGAGAGTATTGAACAACTCCTGTGTCCCAGATATCTACGAAGATGATTTATATTTGTGCATTCACGCACAAAATCGAAAAAAGGTGTCGTGTGGGAAAAATATCCAGAGTGTAAATCTCCATATACCAAGGTATATATATAAGGATTAAGACTGAATAGAAGAAGCCTACGTTACAACAATATTCAAACAAAAAGTATCCAAATGGTCATTTCTCAACATACCAGCTTAGCTACGAAATTTATCTATTTGTTGAAAGGATTTTGATTTAATCTAAATTTCTGTATAGTTTGATTGTTCTGATGGGTCTTGTTATTAGTTTATCTGTGTTATTATCATTTAAAGTATTGTATTATGAAAAAAGAGTGAAAACGAAGTGTTGGTCGTGACAATTGAAACAAGTGACTCCCACATTATTGACTATGTAATGCTTCCAAGTCACTTATAGGACCTTACAACGACTCCAAATTTACAATTATATTCTTTAAAATTTAGATTATTACAGGAAGATTTTATCATCAAAAAGCTAATTTATCACGAACTAAATTGTAAAAAAATCAAACTGTGTCCAATATTTCTTATTAGTTAAGTGATTCTACCACCCAAGTTGTTGTAAAATTTGGGTGGTTGATGTCTCATCAATACCCACTTGCAAGATGATAACAGAAAGAAAATAATAAGCTTCAGAAACGACAAGGGGACATTAAATTTATAGGTTTTTACTAAACAAATTAAAGTGCTAGACACAAAAAAGAAGAATGAACCCGAACGTGATGTTAAGTAAATTTATTCAAGCACATGAACATTGGCACAAGGAGGCGCCGAATATATGTGCGTCACACTTCGTCATTTAGTTTGTGTGAGGGTTGGAATACTGACCGGGTGTCCAAACCAAAGGTGGTTTTCTTAGGGGGCCACAAACCGAGCCTTTGATTTAGAGGTCTCATCCACAAGGCAGTTTAGCAACGTTAGGAGATGCAGCTTCATGGCAGCTGTTGACCAACAATAGGTTCATACGACATTTTTTCCTTATGATCCTGAAACCCATGTACAGCATTGGTTCGGAATCAGGGTTTTCTGACTCTCATAGTTGGATCCTCCATCTCCACTAACCGGCCAACTCTCTTTTCATCCTCTCAATTTCACACAAAAACACCCCTGCTATGAGAAGACATTAAGTAGGACTTCCCTGGTAGTGACCATGTACGCGTGACTGTATGAGAGCATTTCGAGCAGGAGAGCTGACTCTCCACACGCTCGGCCGTATCAGGGCACTTAAAATAAAATCAACAAGATTGTTTTTATGTACAGTTAGATTAAGAAACTTTATTCAAAAACAATATCCCGTTATTATGAAAATGGGTAGGGTTCATGATGCTTTCATAAAACTGCAAGTCTATAGCCCTTGTCAAGCAGTTCTTATTCACTGTCATCAAGAGGTGAGGGTTTCTGAGTAAAATTGTTTAGAGTACATTTCACTGAAGGCTGATGTAATTTTTTTAAGGATTTTTATATCAGAGTTCATAAATCGGTAATTTTATTAATTCCTATTAGAATAAATCATTAGAAACCATACGTAGTAAACAGGAAAGTTTGTTAGGTAGGCCAATTTATCTACAAAAACAGATAATTAATCAAAGTCTATAAACTTGTCAGCTCTCAAATTACAACCGTAGCTATTGTTTAAAAAAATGTAACACTAGAAACAAGTTAACATGATTAATCCAGTTAACAATTATTTAACTTTGTAGAGTATATATTGACTTATGAATTGTTTGTTGACAAATGTTAACCCTGATTCACCATTACAAACGTTTTTAGTATACATCATTAATCATTATTAAATAAGATAATAAGTTATTTTGTAGTGATTAAACAATTTTGACGACAAAGTCATTGAAATCAAACTATAATTTTAGGAAATGATAAAAAAAATGGTGAGAGTATTCAAAACTAACTTCTCGCATTGTATTTTCCCAGAGTCTAGCGATAAATTCAAGTGTAATTGGTCCAGCTTTATAGGATAACTTGCCTAAATCACAAATAATTGGTACACATCGTATACGTCCATTATAACAACTCTAAAAATATAAGATGTTTAAAATTAACTAAAGTCTAAGAAAATAATAATAAAATGCAGGAAATGATCCAATCGCTGGCTGACAAAATAAGTTATTAACAAGCAAATGATTTATCTGAAGAAAGTGAGTGAACGTACTGTTGCTAAGGCGAAGGACTAGGCAGAGATTACAAATCAAAAATTATTTGATGTAAGTGAATCATGACCAGTATTCATTGGATCAACAGACTTTAAAAATGGAAATAAAACTTATTTCTTAAAATGCTCAGTAGTTGTAACCATTCAGCAGGAAAACCTACTTAGCCAGATGCGACTGACTTCCTGTAGAATTAAGATGTTTTGATGTTCTATGATGTTCAGCCGCTTAATCTGGAGGATTGTAATGAAACTAGGAGTTTAGAACTAACAATTCAACAATACAACATTAGCCACCATTCTGTGAACGAATAATGTAATTCTTAAGAACAATATACAATCTACAACTATGTTTACATAGATCAATACTTACGATTGTAGTCATTTTTCGATCAACTAATTTCTTTGAATCTGCTAAACGATCAGGAACTGGCTCCAAGATCATTTTGTCTGATAGTGGGGGATACGGAGAAGGGTTGTCTGAAGGGATATTAATTGACGCAGTTCGTACTGGTACACCATCGTTTGATTTTCTTAATCTAGAAAATATCTTCGAAAGAAAACAACTATAACATTAGGATAGATCATCTCATACAACTCATATGTCCAATAAATGCGATATTTATGATGTTAGCCTTTATGAAACACTTTCTGAAGAACAGACGGTGAATAATTCTTGTGTGAAGAGTATTAAACTCCTGAGGGGTCATATGTGACTAAATTTATACGATCCCAATAAGTGGCTGTTGAACCATGACAAAGCCTTTAAGTGTCCAGCAGTAAATATTCGTAAATTCCTGGTACATGTTATCATCATCACACTAGATTATTTTTATCACTTTCTTGACTTAACCTCTACTGATTCTACTTTGTTCTTAAAATCCAAAATGGTTGGTTAGGTAGGTAGTGCAGTGATAGACTGTCAAACGACGAGGTATATGAAAAATCTGATTACTGAGGACTTATAGAGATGATTTTCACTGGACAAATGAAGAGAAGGCAAATGTTTTTTCACAAATGAATAGAATAAGATTGATATACCCTGAATAAAATAGAGTTTCTCGATCTCGGTTTGGGTATTTTTTGACAGATCATTATTGGTAATGCAGTATACTATGATATAAGACGTTGTTTGCTTATTGACTTTAACGAATAAAGTATGTTGGGATAATAGAGTCACTGCATTTTGATAGCGTGTAATGTAACTTAGGAATCTCACAGAAGTGCCATTAAAAGTAGGTAGTTATGTAGAATGATACATTAAACATAACTTCAAACAATAGTTACGTCAGTGATGATTACGATAATGCGATGAATTCCTGATTAACAACATTGTATTGGTTTATGCATGAAGTTATGAGCTATACCTATTCCTTGAGGACTAAGAATAATTTTTGAATTCCTAGATCAAAATGAACGTAAAACTGGGTTCCATCAGTTAGTAATCGGTCATATGAATCTGTTCTCAAAACTTCGTGGAAGACAAGGAGCAGGGATTACTGAGTCATATCTTCAGAATAAATTTATGACTAATAACTTATAACAGTACAAAATACAGGATGTTTCAATTCTACTATAGCTTGTTTTTTTACCAACCAGTGGCATCAAAATAACTTCATCTGAATGATGTGTTTTAAAAGAAGAGGTTAGTTAGCCAGTTACTTTTGCAGTAGCGTGTGATGCTTTTCTAAAGAAGTTATCTTCCGCTTTTTAGTTTTCTAACATGCGATTTACTATTTACTTTCCCTATCTAATGTAATTTCGAATTATATTTTATCTCACTTATTTATCATTTGAATCAAGGTAAAAAGTTAAACGATTAGGTCATCATCCATTCATAAATGTGAGTTATTTATATACACTTAAAAATATCCACTTTTTCTTGTTTCAGAAGCATGTTTCTTTATTTTCGATTTCATTGCTTTACTTTGAAGAAAACGTGATTGATATCTTAAAATACTGTATGATAAAAAGCAGTACAGAGATTAATTGAAAGCAGCGTGATACGATGAGCGAATCAGGCATATTGTCTTAAGACCACATGGTAAGTGAGAAATGCTAACATGTGCACTTTATTGGCCAAGATCTGAGTCAACTTTCTGAGGAAGCGGATACATATTGTTGGCTGAATCTCTGTGTTAATTTTCTGAGGGAAACGGATATGTATTCAAAAATGAGTTGTGCATAGATCTTCGATTTGGGGCTTTGAATTAATGGTTCCTACTTCTTGGTTTTTTCATTCAAGTACCCGGATAGGATTGTGTATAAGTAGCTTGTATATCCGTAGCAAAATCGGACATACCTCAGAACACAAAACAACAGTCATTTATATTAACACAAAAATGATAGGAACCACTGAAAGGAACTCACTCGGAAATTATGTGGATTAACAACTTTCTGTAATGCCTTAGAATCACAAACAACACTAGTTTCATTGTCTACTGTTTGACCAGGAATTGGAAGCGCATGTTGAATTACATAAGGATTTTCAAGCAAGTAGAGAAGATATTTTCCATGTGGTTCATTGATGAGCCCAGCGAATTCAAAAGGCCAATCGATGATCAGACGTGATGCTGGTATTAAACTATGTTTACGTAAATTTCGTACCTTTTTTCGCAACACAATAACAAGAACAGTAGGAAACAGCACAATACGTATATATAAAAATAGCTTTAGAAAGACAGTCTAAAACAGCTACTTGATACCGTTTCTCTGATTCGCCAGTAAATAACACTTCTGTATGAGAACAGTTCTTAAATTAATCTAGAAATAACTATTTTGTTTGAAATCAATGGTTTGAACATTGAGATTTTTGATGGAAGACTTGTTCACTGTCATTTACATTAACTAGTGACGTGTTCCAGAGTTATCAATAATTTATAGTATGAACGCCTTTCGGATGAAATGAATACACAGTCTGTAGTCAAATTAGACTGTTATTTGACTTTTAGTTGGCTAATAATTCTTGTTATTTCTCTCTTCCTGACTAAGAACCCTAGTCATTATAGGGAGAGGTATAGGTGATAAAAAAAGAACAAAAACGATAACAAACTATTTTAGTCATAAAGTTATGTTAATTTCCCATATCTGAGATGAATAGTTTTAATAACATAATGATAAGATATTGGATAGTTTTACAATGAAAGTTGTTGATTAGAATGACGAACGCTTAAGGTTCAGAGTAAACAATATTTTGTAATTTTATTTGTAAATATTTATAATAATAATGCTGAGTTTATATCTCAATATATTTCATAAGTCCTAACTATTGGAGAGTTCATTGTAGCAAAAAATTATTCATTTAGATCGACGATGCATTATACTTACATACATGGGGGGATAGTAGCTCAGTTAGATATGTAGATATTTATGCTTCATCAAGCTGATGAACTATACCGGGTTTTTAAAACAGTATGACAATTATGAGCAAAGATGGATAGTGGCTAGCAGTGGAATCCAGGACTCGCGTTTTGTCACATTTGGGACTCGTCAACTGGATGAACATTCATCTCAGAGTTGATGTTCACTTTCATTTCTTTGCTGAGAGCTTGGGAATTCATCAAGAAGATGAATAAAGAAATTATAATTGCAAAAGGAAGACTCAGTGTGGTAAGAAAGCATTTTGAAATTGAGATGAATTGTAACCACGAGGATTATAGAGACAGGAACAAGTCAATTGAGGGTTAAAGTTCTTTCGAGAAGAAGAGAGAAGGGAAACAGATGGCTGCGAAGTAGGAAATGAAAAGAAAACAATAAGAGAGATTGAGATCATGGTAGAAGATGCTATACAAGTTTCTTTTGTACACAATTGCCATGTTTGTTAAAATTTTATTATCATTTTGGAAGCTAAGTATATATTCGCTGTTGTATAGTTTTGAAAATAAATTTACCCAAGAAAGGAGAACTTTTCACTGAACTAATCTTTTTTATTTTATGATAAATTGTAAAAACCTTATCGACTGAAAACTTTCATTCATATTCTATAAATATAATTTCAAATTACAATCGATGGAGATTAAATATGGCGGACAATTTTCTGTCTAGATTGTTTTTGTTATTTCTACATTTCTTTCAAAATTTAATGTCAAGAAAAACGTCTAGATAAACTAAAACCTAGTAAGTCAATGGCGTCATTCTGTTTACAGTTCATTGTACTGTTTGTTACTCAAGAGTGAACTAAAAACGTTTGCAATGCTTATTGTTACTTATTTTACTTATTCTGATAACACTCTTAAGATTATTTGATTCGGCATTGGAAGTAACACGTTCAAATAGTTCATTGTAACACAAAATCAAAATGAATGTTTTAAACTTGAATTAACATATTGAATATGACATTAGTTATGTTACATGAGACTGATCAATTGCAGTCCTATATAACAATGGGAAGATACAAGTAAAACAACACTAAGTGAATTAGTTATTTCGATAATGCACTGAGAAGACGTAGTTTATCAGAATTATGTGATCTTTTAATTTTCATATATAAATGTTCTTAACAAGTATATGTGTGATCAGATTGTTCGAAATGTATTGCGCAAATATATCACATAATTCTGGTAAACTACGTCTTCTCATTGTATTATTGAATTAGTTATGTTAGTCCTAATAACTTGACTTAAATAATGTTTAATTAAAGTATACAGTTTTTTATAATTAACAAAAGACGCATAAATTAAACTATATTCAAACAAAATTACTTTTCAGTATGTTTGTCATTCAAAAGAAAGTGGGATAGTTTTAATGTTTCAATGTGTATTGTCTATTACACTTTTTTATTTTGTCAGTCAATCAATAAAGTACGGATTAATTTTCGTTTCATAAAAGAACAATATATCTATAAAGACAATCGAAGATTGTGAATTTAGAGGTTCGAGAATATGGATAGAAATGAGAAAGTGTTTGATAAGGCTGTAAATCATTATCAAGTGAGGTAGATGGGAGATGTGGTATAGATTTCAAAGACTCTTACACAAATAATAATAACAGAGATTGTAATAAAATATTGCCAAGGTGAATGTTAATGTATGCTATATGAAGGTAAATTTAAAGTAAAAAAAATTATTACTTACAGTAAATTTTCCAACAATTCTAACATCACCAATTTGATTTTCTGCTGACATTGAACTAATCCCGTCACTAACATTTCCACTAAAGTAAATTGTATTCGGTTCAGTTGTTCTGCGATGAAACCAACACAAAATTTTTAGTTTTTTCTATGTTGCATTAAAACTCATGAGGTTAATAACCATGCTGTACTTTTATGCAAATATATAGACAACAGAACTATATTTAAGTGCTCTAATAACATCACTATCAGTTGATTTAAGCTTATTTAACTTTTACCTAAGTAAACAGATTGGAACATTACACGTTAAGCCGTATATGAAAGGTTACAGTTAACTGCATAAATTTGAATTTTGAATAAAATCATATTTAAATAGGTTATTTATGTAGATTCGATCAGTTTGAAAGATTTCATTATGAACGTACATCGGTCTGAAAACTATTAAAAAGAAAAGAGCACTGGTTTAAGACTTCAATATCTGATATTTATCCATGATGAAACACCATTTGTGAAGTTAATATACCAATTTTATTTTGCTCATCTATAATCATCAGAAGGGGTTTTGTGGAGATGTTAGAAATTTCACTGGTTGAAATCATGAGTCAATTGAAGCTAGGTATCGTGGATGCGCACTTCTGAGGAGTCCCATACTAGGACGAAACGGCCATTCAGTGCTTCCAGGTTTTTCATGGTGGTCTAGCTTCAACTGACTCATGATTTCAACCAGTGAAGTTTCTAAAATCTCCACAGAACCCCTTCTGATAATAATCATCTGCTCACTAGTGACTGACTTCAAGAAATACTCCTGGAGTTCTAGTGAGAAGCCGTTACCAGTGGAGTTCAACCAGGTCTGTTGTGAGATATCAACTCACTGAAGACAATGGTGTACGGTGGCGCAACTTCGTGGATCATCTATAATCAGTTAGAAGTTTACTAGGGAAAATATTATAGAAATTCATACTTATTTATTAAGTCTGTATAATTGTTTACATTTACAGACAATAAGTACAATTGTGTTATTTTCATCGATTTTAATACAAAATCGTATGTGTCATATGTTAAAGATGGAGACTGACAAGTAACAATGGAAAGAAAACATGATAATTGTGTAGGTATTGTTACCAAGGTTTAACTTGATAATTATGAATAAATTGAGTATCGGGTCGATTGTTATAAATAAGTTAATATATTTGTAATATCCCAATGAGTAGAAAAATGAGATTTTCTGACGTTTCGTGACTTAATGTATGCCACTTCTTCAAGGAGTAAATAACCAAATCAAAATTAATCCAACTTTTATCATGATAATTGTGTTTTATATTCCAGAAAGAATAAAGTTTTACTATTGTATAAACATTTATCATTTTTGTGAAAATATTACAGAAGGAATTAAATAAAAATAACCTTAGAAATATATTACTTGAAGCCACTAGATAGAATGTTAAAATAATGCCTGGAGATATTGATATTTATTTATTGTGATAGTTTGAGCTTTCCCATTACGAGATAATCTAGATAGAAATGATCAGTTTTGCCACTATATTAACCTCTTGAACAAAAATGTAATAATGTTGCTTGCATTGACATGTCGATTATGTTTGGATAGTGACCAGACGTATAAGCCAGAAAGTACGTATCATAATATTTTGGAAATGAGATGAATGAAACACTTATTTAATTGTATATAACTTTCCATCTTTTAAAAATAAATTTATTGAAATTTCGAGGACTAAGTTGAACCCTCTGATGATTATAACTAGGTGACACATCATTTTAAGATCCAGTCACTGTTGTTTTTGATAGTTCTCAGCCATTTATTTCATGTTATTTGGTATTCGGTTTACAAAACTAAACTAACTACTTAGTTGGTGATTCCATTTTCAAATATGTAGAACTAGTTACTCAATATTAATGCAATATTGATTTAGTTGTTGAGACCTGATGATGATTAATTTATTCAATTATTTAAAACAATTAGTCCCTTTGATAAATTTCGATAATGCAATGAGAAGACGTATTGCGCAAATATATCACATAATTCTGATAAACTACTTCTTCTCATTGCATTATCGAAATTTATTCAATTATCTTCTTTTCTACAATAACTTTGAATATAATACTACTACACAAGTAGTAAATCATATTTTTTAAAATTTTCTAATAAATTCGAAAAACAAAAAATAGAAATAAACAATTCAGTCAAATGTTACATTTGACAACTTTTTCTGATACATACAATTCTGATTCATAAATAATATTGAATGTCTGCTGAAAACTTTGTTACAATCTAATTAAAGAGTTTTGTAGAGATTAATGGAGATCTAATTAGAGACACTGATTTACGACAGAGAATCAAACTATAAAGTTAGAAAAAAAGAGTTTAATCATACCTACACCTACATATTACTTAGGTTCAAATAACAAAGTTGTTGTTGTTTTGTTTAATTATTAAAAAATGAAATGACTATGTATTTAAAGCGTTTTCAGTTGTAGCTAATATTGGTTAACATCAGTTTGACAGAAGATTAAAAATGTCACTAAGACAATAGTAGTAGAAATCATTTTAATAAAATCTAAGAATGAAATAATTATTTGGAAACAAAATCGATTGTAAAAAACAGTTTCACCTCTAACTTAACGTAGAAAAAAAGCTAGTAGGTATGGAATTAGTCCGGTAGAAAATCTTGGACATAAGTTTTCTTCTAGTTGACATAAGTCAGTAAGATGTACATGTAATCCTGAGGGTATAATGCTCGTTCAGCTTCATCAACATAAACCACATTACAACTTTATTAAAAGAATTCAATGAGCACAAAATGACTTGCAAAGTATGATAGTGATTTCTAGTCAGCCATCAATCAATTGTAAAACAGAAAATGTTTTATTTTTATAGCCAATATTACATGACGGATTAATTCATGATCTTCATGAAGAATTAGGATAAATTATCGGGCGCTATGTCTAGGATTAAGACTTATTAATGTGATAAACATCCTTGATTTTACATATACTGGCTACATGTCTTGCTATATCCAAATTCGATACCCTTGTAATATCGAAAATATGTACTATATTACAAATTAAGATAAAAACACTAATCATGGTTGTTTGAGTTTTCGGTGATTCCACAGTAGATAATAATAGAATAATATCAAAAAAGAGGAAAATTCAGTATTTTTTGATTTGTTAAGTGAAACCTATAAACATCTTTGAAGTTGACTTGTAAACTTGTTTGAACAATATAGTAGTACGTGAATAATGAACAGTTAAGTCACAATCAATCCTATTCATTAAAGTCTCAATAAGAGTAAAGATTGAATTTTAATAAGTTGAAGTGCTTGTCTCAAACTAGAGTCTCTGATATCTGAGTTATAAGACAAAACTAACTATTCATAACTATCAGTTTATATAATTTTGATTGGAAAATTAAATAAGATAATTATTTTCATTTATGTATTTTTCTAACTCCGCCTGGAGTCCCTCTGGGGGCTACTGCCGGTCCCAAGCCCGGATAAAGGAGGAGGGTTGGGCATGGGGTTAGCGTCCCCATCCCGTAGAAAAATAACTCGCTAAAAAAACGCTAACCAGAAAAAATTATTCACACCTTTTAAACTCTGCCCTGGGAGTCAGAAGATCTTCATTTAGAAGAATTATGACGCCTCATGATGAAAGCCGAATCCCTTCGGAAGTTATGAGGCCGATGCCCCTTCTGACAACCAGAGCGACCATTTATTTAGGTACATGGAATGTTCGTACAATGTGGGACACCGGGAGAGCCTTCCAGATTGCTGCAGAAATGAGAAGATACAACCTAGAGGTACTTGGGATCAGTGAAACACATTGGACACAAGTTGGACAACAACGACTAACTACAGGAGAGCTCCTGTTATACTCCGGCCACGAAGAAGAAAATGCACCACATACACAAGGAGTTGCATTGATGCTGTCCAAACAAGCACAAAATGCACTTATAGGATGGGAATCTCATGGACCAAGGATCATCAAAGCCTCCTTCAAAACAAAGAAAGAGGGCATTTCAATGAACATCATTCAATGCTATGCGCCTACCAACGACTACAATGAAGACGCGAAAGATCAATTCTACAATAGGCTGCAGTCAATCGTCGAGAAGTGCCCAACAAAGGACCTGACCATTCTGATGGGAGATTTCAACGCCAAGGTTGGAACGGACAACACTGGATATGAAGACATCATGGGACGACACGGACTGGGAGAAAGAAACGAAAATGGTGAGAGATTTGCAAATCTATGTGCCTTCAATAAGCTGGTCATAGGCGGCACCATATTCCCACATAAACGCATACACAAAACCACATGGACTTCACCGGATCACTCTACACAAAACCAAATCGACCATATTTGCATCAACAAAACGTTCAGGAGGACTATAGAGGACGTGAGAACCAAGAGAGGAGCTGATATAGCATCAGATCATCAATTACTGGTCGCCAAGATGAAATTGAAACTCAAGAAGCACTGGACAACGGGGCAGACAGTATCACAAAAGTTCAATACGGCCTTTCTCCAGGATACTAATAAACTCAACGAATTCAAGATAGTCCTCAGCAACAAGTTCCAGGCCTTTCATGATCTACTCAATGAAGAAGGAACTACTGTGGAGAGCAACTGGAAGGGGATCAAAGAGGCAATCACTTCAACATGTCATGAGGTCCTGGGTCACAAGGAACACCACCACAAGGAATGGATCACTGTTGGTACATTGGACAAGATTCAAGAAAGGAGGAACAAGAAGGCAGAGATCAATACCAGCCGAACAAGAGCAGAAAAAGCCAAGGCACAAGCTGAATACACGGAAATAAACAAACAAGTGAAGAGGAGCATCAGAACCGACAAACGTAAATATGTGGAAGATTTAGCAACGACGGCGGAAAAGGCTGCAAGAGAAGGAAACATGAGACAATTGTATGACACGACAAAGAAACTCTCTGGAAATCGCCGCAAACCAGAACGACCAGTGAAAAGCAAGGAAGGCGAGGTAATCACCAACATTGAAGAGCAACAAAACAGGTGGGTAGAACACTTCAAAGAACTCTTGAATCGACCAGCCCCACTGAACCCACCCAACATCGAAGCAGCACCCACGGACCTCCCAATTAATGTTGGCCCACCAACAATTGAAGAAATCAGCATAGCCATCAGACAAATCAAGAGTGGCAAAGCAGCAGGACCGGACAACATCCCAGCAGAGGCACTAAAAGCAGACGTAGCGGCAACTGCACGGATACTCCACATTCTCTTCAATAAGATTTGGGATGGGGAACAAGTACCAACAGACTGGAAAGAAGGACTACTGATCAAAATACCGAAGAAAGGCGATCTCAGCAAGTGTGATAACTACAGGGGCATCACTCTTCTCTCAATACCGGGAAAAGTCTTCAACAGGGTATTGTTAAACAGGATGAAGGACTGCGTAGACTCACAACTTCGTGACCAACAGGCAGGATTCCGTAAGGATAGATCGTGTACAGACCAAATCGCAACTCTACGGATCATTGTGGAACAATCAATTGAATGGAATTCATCACTCTACATCAACTTCATTGACTACGAAAAGGAATTTGATAGCGTGGACAGAACAACACTATGGAAACTTCTTCGACACTACGGCGTGCCTCAGAAGATAGTCAATATCATACAGAACTCATATGATGGATTACACTGCAAAATTGTGCATGGAGGACAGTTGACAAAGTCGTTTGAGGTAAACACCGGTGTCAGGCAAGGTTGCTTACTCTCACCCTTTCTCTTTCTCCTGGTGATCGACTGGATCATGAAGACGTCAACGTCTGAAGGAAAGCGCGGGATACAATGGACATCTAAGATGGAGTTGGATGATCTAGACTTCGCAGACGATCTGGCCCTTCTATCCCAAACGCAACAACAGATGCAGGAGAAGACAAACAGTGTGGCAGCAGCCTCAGCAGCAGTAGGTCTCAATATACACAAAGGGAAAAGCAGGATTCTCCGATACAACACAGAATGCACCAATCCAATCACAATTGACGGAGAAGATTTGGAAGATGTAAAAACCTTTACGTATTTGGGCAGCATCATTGATGAACAGGGTGGATCTGATGCAGATGTGAGGGCGCGGATCGGCAAAGCAAGAGCAGCATATTTACAACTGAAGAACATCTGGAACTCAAAGCAACTGTCAACCAACACCAAGGTCAGGATTTTCAATACAAATGTCAAGACAGTTCTACTGTATGGGGCAGAAACCTGGAGAACTACAAAAGCCATCATCCAGAAAATACAGGTGTTTATCAACAATTGTCTACGCAAAATACTTCGGATCCATTGGCCGGACACTATTAGCAACAACGTACTGTGGGAGAGAACAAACCAGATCCCAGTGGAGGAAGAAATCAGGAAGAAGCGCTGGAAGTGGATAGGACACACATTGAGGAAAGCACCGAACTGCGTCACAAGACAAGCCCTCACATGGAATCCTGAAGGTCAACGGAAAAGAGGAAGACCAAAGAACACATTACGCCGAGAAATGGAGATAGACATGAGAAAACTGAACAAGAATTGGATGGAACTAGAAAAGAAGGCCCAGGACAGAGTGGGTTGGAGAATGCTGGTCAGCGGCCTATGCTCCATTGGGAGTAACAGGCGTAAGTAAGTAAGTAAGTATGTATTTTTCTAGATATCTCATTCTAGACATTTATTATGTTCATGATGAAGCTACCTAGTCCTACTGATGAAACATTCACTAGAGAAATAATGGAAATAAAAGAAAATCAGAAATTTGTTATTTTCACTAGTACGCTAAAAATCTTGTTATTGGTAACAATAATGACATTAATCACAACTTACCCAAATACTGAAACATTGACAATCATTTTAATATTTACTTGTAATTCATTAGTTAACTGTCCTTCAACTTGTATGGGATTATTAGAACTTCTAAAAGTTGGAAAAGTGAAAAAAATACGTGCAACCAACTTAAAGTGTGACTAATCATTCTATGTATTAGTCCTATTTATATTGTGAGAACAATTTTTGTTATTTTAATGTAATTGAAAGCCACGAGGTACTGAAAATCTGTTCCATCCAACTATGCGGTTGCCAAATAGTACGTATCGCAAACTATTCCTGAGGTTGGTCTCAGAACTGCCAGTTGTCATGGAGAATATACTACTTCTAAACCTCTGATTTTGAATTCAATGATCCTGTTGCATATCAATAATATTGAACAAGTCTGGACTATGAGGATGCAACTCAATAATCTAAAAGTAACGTGGTCTTTTGATGTCTGTGTTTTATAGCTGATGATCCTCGTGCACCACAGTGAAAAAATAACAGCAAAATGCTTTATGGTTTTCAGTGTTGCTTTAAACGATGTGACGAAAGCCATTTGTGGATTCTACTTATGATGAGAGCAGATGACAAACTCATACATATGGTGTTGAATGCATTCACTTAGAAATAACATAGTTTATTATCGCATTAAAATTGAAATTAAAGCCAATATAATATACTGAAGTATGATATTGTGAATAATTATGTTTATGTGTGTAGAATTTATTATCTAGATATGTAATTATATAAAGAAATACTATAAAATTTAGTGAAACAAACGATTTTCACTATTTATTTGAATACTTTTCAGTAATTTACTAGCATTTATTCGCTATAAAATTGAGATATGTACACTTAAAACTTTATCCGGTGTGTGGGGTTGAAGTGGGAATAAAAACCTAAAACGATTAAACAGATGTTTCACTGTATTCCAAAAGTATCAAAAAGTGAGGAACATACTATACCAAAATACTTTTAAGTTTCATAATGTGTACTATATCAACCAGCTAAAATAGGACTTATTTATATTTTACATATTCAGTAAATTAATGATTTATTGAGACTATCACTCATCATCATCAATGGAGATCTATTACCAATATTCGACTTGATTGACCAAACACATTTCATTCACCTTGCAGCAAGTTATCAATGCCCACTCAATGATACCAGATGTTAAGCGATTCTTGGTTTTTCAAAATATTCTTCATCTAATGAAGATTATCTTCATATCTAGTCTATACCAGTGATATGAAGGGTTTAAATCTGCAAAGCAGAACATATTAACTTTATATGGTATCAGTGGGAGACTACCAAACTAGTAAATAAGTTAAAATTCATGGTATTTACCATAGGGGTTAGAAAAAATACCCCTTATTCATGTGTGCATATTTACAGTAAACAAATGACACCGACTAGAATAGAAACACAAAAAGACTCATTAAATATAGCAAGATATTAAAAAAAAAGAACAAGCAAATGACTTACATCAATACAGTACTATTTACATGAAATTTAGCCATTTGTACAGTTAACTGATGTCCGATTACAAGCCATCGTATCATACATTCACTTGATTCACCAGAAGCCAATGGATATCTAAGATGACAGATTGCTGTATCCGGTTGAATTAAACTGGCTTCTTTAAGCTAAATTGAAAAAAACAAATCATTGGTTATACAGTAATTCTATAAAAATGACTGATTAAAACAAATAAATAAACACAATAAAAATTAAACTAAACAGTGTTTTTCATGTATGTATAGACAATAATTAAAAGATGACCAAGAAGAAAACTAATCAAAACTAGACGTGGATAAAAATTCAATTTTTGTGATTTTTGCCGTTTCTCACATACCCTACAATCTAATTGTTGTAGAGTGATTGCTTCTCGTTTACTCGTTGCAGTCATCCTTGAGATGATATTTCCTAACTGCATAGCAGGGAGCAGGTTGTAACACAAACCATCAAAGAAAAAAGGCCATGTGAACATTGTATTGTTATCAATAGTTAAATCAATCCATTTCTAGACGGTGTTATACTATTTTTACATTTGAAATCTAGTTGTTGTTATTGTCTCTTGGATTCATCAAATGGAACAAAATGACAGCCAAATATGAAGCATTTTGTTTATAATATATTCTGTTTAAACGTTTGTTAATGAAATAAATGAAAATATCAATAGGAGAAGAATGGTAAAAACGAGACTGATCAATCACAGTTCTCAACACCAATGGGAAGATTCAAACAAGCAATACAAATAAATTAAAAATGATTTAATGCGGATAAAAAAAGCAGAATAAAGAGAAAAAAACGAATTGCACGTGGATTACTAAAATGATGGTAACTCAATTTCGGGGATTGGTTGAAGTTAGACATTAATACCGTTGGAAGCCGGCCGGCTCAGTGATCTAGAGGTTAAGCATTCTCGCGCGAGACTGATAGGTCATGGGTTCGAACCTTGCGGGGCGGGATCGTGGATGCTCACTACTGAAGAGTCCCATACTAGGATGAAACGGCCGTCCGGTGTTTCCAGGTTTTCAATGATTGTCTAGCTTCAATTGACTCATGAATTCAACCATGATTTATTAGTTTGAATAATCCATATATTGTGTCATGTGGTGGCAGTATTACATGGGAATATGAAAGACTAAAATCGGAATTCGTATTTAAACCAGACTGGTAGATACGAAAAAAAACTATGTGAGATTCCATGTGAGAGTTGAGAAAACTCGATATTTATATCAATTCATTTACTAGATCTATAAGAAGTGATCAAGAGTAAGATCACTGATTAAACCAATATGATCATTAATGAGTTTAACATTTACTTGAATTTCCACATATTTATTTATGAATTATTTTAGTATGTTTTTCTATTGTATTCTGATGAATATTCACTCAGTTTTGATTCTTGTTTAATATAAAATTCGTTTTTCATTACAATAATTTAGATGACATTATCCACTGAAAAGGAAACCTGTATATGAAACATGGCATTTTTCCCAGTTTCAGATCACATTGTAGGGCTGAGTTAACTGTTTTAAGGGGTATAATAGAGGGTTATTGCTTTCCGTTTACTGATTGCAGTAATCCTTGAGATGATATTTTTTAACTGTGTAGCAAGGAGCAGGTTATAAGAAGGATCATGAATGAAAAAAGGCCATGTGATCATTTTATCGTTAAACCAATACATTCCTAGACGGAGTTGTGTTACTTTAATAATTGAAATTTTAAATCAAAAGCATGAATTAAACTCCTATGGTCACCAAATCTCTTATTTAAGTGTATGCATAATATTCCACTTCTATTGAAATTTTCCACAATCTGAAATAAAGAGTTGATATGTATATGATATATCATTTTATATCTTAACCGTATAATTCCTTCAAGCATAATATTGCTCACAAAATCGCTCGTTACCTTTAAAAGACTCAACCCATATAAATCATTTTTTAAAATTTTTATCTCCAATCTTATCTCCCAACTGATTTATCGGATGTGATATTTTTCAATCTACAGAGGGGTCTATGGACAGTACTTATATTAAAATACTCTGAATTCCAAAAAATTATATACAGAACACTAGTGAAATAACGTATCAGTCCAAATCGTATATTTCATGATAGATATTTATAGATGTATAATTTTCTAGTGATCCTAACCCTTTTCAATTGAATATAATCTACTATTCGAGTTAATCAAAAACTATAAATTAAAGAAAAAGTGTGGAATATTTTTGCTTGATATTATCATTTACATTTTATTGAAAATGATCTAGTTTCGAGTAAATTTTTCTCGTACATTCATCTAACCCGTTATTAATGAAATCACTAATAGAAATAATCATAAAATTCATTCTTTTTGATACTCTTTTAGTATACATCTATTATCATTTCGGTTAATAAAATATCACTTTTCTTGTGTATAGAAAATACTATGAAACAAAGTCGATATTGTAATTAACACCGAAATTGATTGAATTAACTTTGAATCACAAATACATCTATAAAGTAGGTGTTAAATAAGTATAGGAAACGAAACACAACGACAAAACAACTGAGATATATTTTGATGGAGTTTTGTTCTATCTAAAGTTTGTGTGGATGATGTCGTTCAGAAAAATGATGAAAGCTTCACGACTAAACCATTCGGCTCAGAGAACAAAACTCTATCAAAATCATTTACCTGAGCTACAAATCTTCTCCACCATTTCAACTGAGATATATCTTACGATTAAACATCGTTTTTGTAAGGTTTTGAACAGCATTGTTTTGGTTTTCAGTGTAAATGTCTTCAAGATTACGCAGAAGTCATGACTTTAGGAAAGATCAGATTATCATGCTTTAATTGAAACTTAACAAAACGTTACTTTATTGATCTTTCAGTGGTTATTAAGTGTTAGAACACTTAATTTTTTAGTAAAATCAACAGTACAACTTACAGTTGAATCAAGTTCCAATAAATTTGGTAGAAAATTACTGACTAATCCAGTAGCATAAACTAAATCATTGCCAATATTTGTTACACGAACGGATAATTCGATTGTTTGATTATTATCATCACCCACATAAACAACAGGTCCATTTTTATCTCTAGAATAGCATGAGAAAGTTGAGAAAGAGAAGAGATTATTGCTAAGAATTATTTGAGAATTGCAAATGACAGGTTCGCTTATATACGGATTATTAAATTGTGTAAAGTTTATAATCTGGTTGAAAATACCTTTAGTTTCAGATATCCTTTGAAGTATTTACAACGAGAAGTATTGGTTGATTTAGAACAAAACATCTATGGTCTATTTCATATCTGTTTACTAGACTTGTTGATTTCAGTACTGAAAGTAAAGTCACATTGGTTTACAAACTGGATTTTGCACAACTAGATTAGTTTTCGTAAACTTTAGCTCAGATACATTATATCGAGTTGATTCTTAAAAGTAGACACTATTCGTATTTTCCTATATAAGCGCGCACATAAAATGGAAAATATTCATCGATTAGCAACAAACAACTATTATCATATTCGTAAAAAGTTGTCCACAAATATTACTATGATTTATTCGAGTGTATTCACCAGTACTGTGACCTCTTATACAGCGAAATCAAAAAAAGGGTCCGGAACCTATAAATGATTACCTTCTAGAATACATGGGATTTCTGGACCTTTCTGACTTTAAACTATAAATGTTTAAATTCACTTGGTGTTTGTTCTACTTGTAATTAACCTTTGATTGTATCAATTTGCTTCCAACGTTCAACTGACCGATAGTAATTACATCACAGTGAAAATATTAAAAATTTTCTTTCAACTAGATATATCACTTTAAGAGTGAATGAACATTTAGATGTCACATCAATAAGGCTTGACATAGGTTAGTAAAAATATAGTATTGTTTAGTTTTTAGTGTTGGATAAATTCTGTTGGTCAAGTTGCATTGTAGCTAACAGATATTTAACATGGTGAAACGCTTCATCTATTATTAGGTTATTGATATCATTCAATATTGGAAGATGAGATTTCGAATCTTACATAGAACATCGGTTCCGATGAGAAAGTTGGTACACTTTGTGAACAGGTGCTAATTAGTGGAAAATTTACATCCAGGGCCTTGTGTTGACTGCATTCATCCAGTTCTTATTGTCGAAAAGTTGTTGATTTCGAGCAATATTACGACTACGTCATGAAAATCAGAATTATTTTCTATTATGTTATTCCAGTTAGAAAGCTAGCCAATAAGGTATTTATGTCTTGTATTAGTGTATATTAATAACACTAAGGACAACAAGTGACATCTCACATGATTCTCTGTGCATGTATATTCGCAAATAAAAGACTCCGTCTTGAGTCAATAAAAGTACGAGTAGGTTTATTTGTCACTCAAAATATTTTGAATAGTTTGATGAAAAGATTTCATTGATAATAATCATAAGACTTATTCGGTTAGATAGAACAGTCGATCATGTGATACATACTGGTTCCAGTCTTTCTCCTACATACTAGATGGTGTATTTTTAATCAGAAAATCGTATAATTCGTGATGATAATCGAATATTTAATAATAGAACAATCTGATATCTTACACATTATACTATTGTTTCAAATGAATCTATCTGTTATAGATATTGAATCAATGAAGGATGTAGTAAAAAAAAATCTACTCTCAAATAATGATCTATTTCTCTATCAATTCAATATGTAATTTAATTATGATATTTACGGTAATTTCAATTCAACACATTTGTTACTTCTAATACAAATTAATTTCTTGTTTAATTCATGTAATTTAAGTTAAAGTTTCATTATGAACAAGAACTAGAAAATTTAGTTCTTTTTTTTCTCTCTCACATAAATCAAATATTGATATTAATTAACACATTTCATCTTTAAACTGGTTACTAAGTTGTTTCAGTTCAAATTAAACCAAAGAATAATTCACTTCATTTTTAAAATTAAATAAAATTGAAAATATGAATGATTTTAAGAAGGAGTATAATCATTACAAAGATTGCAGTTATCATGTTCCATTAAATAAACATTTATTAACATTAACTATTGTTGAATAGTTCTAGAATAAGTTGAAACGATTACTTGATAGTTATTAAAACGTAAAAGCTGATTGATATGAGTCTGAGACAAAAAAGCTGTCATCAGCATGTGAATAAAATGTTTTCATTTGTAGGTATTGATTTTCATTGAAATCATCCACAACCAGGTTGATGTTAGACATTGACACTGTTGGATGTTAACTCAGTGATTTAGAGACTAAAACGTTTGAGCGCCAGAGCGAGGGTCATGGATTTGAACCCAGCGTGCAGGGTCTTTGAGGAGTCTCATACTAGAGCAGAACGGCCATCCAGTCTTTTTAGGTTTTCAGTGATGGTCTAACATTGATCGATTTATGGTTTCAACGAAATTCACTAATCTTCACAGCCCCAAAATAAAACTAGTAATTTATTTAAAAGTAAATTAATTATTTCAATCAAGAACAGATAGAAAGGATTCAACGTGGAAATTTTCACAGGTTTGACAACTCGAGAAGATTATTAGTAAGGGAAATAAATTTAAGTGAATTACTAGATTATTAAGAATGTCAAGAGGCCTTAGGTCGATTACGAAGGATGTTGAGTTTACAGGTTGATGTTTACCGACATGACAACCACTCAGGTAGTAAATTACTTCGTTACCTCAATCTCTTTTCATTCGATTCATAATGAAAGTAGATTAATTTCACTCGATGTTTCCTTCTAGAGTGGATCGTTCTCGAGATAAGAAAAAAATAACTCGTCCAAGATATAATAATAAAAATTTCATTCAATGATGCTTCCATTAAGCATATATAATGGAAAACAATGTCTTGACTATTTAAAGAAAACAGTTCAGCAAGCTTCCATTACAAAATAAATACCATGTTTTAACTGAGTTATGTTTATTTCGAAAAGATGAGAGTGAAATAAAGTTTGAAAATGTACATAATTTGCAAAATAAATACAAATATATCAATTACCTGGTTACTTTCACATTATAACTAACTCTTACAGTTGGGCAACATTGTCGAATTGCACAGGGATTATCAAAAGATATCTGACATTACAAATTAAAAAAGAATTTGAATTTATGAACTATATATATATATATATATATACGTAATATTGAATTACTTGAAACAATTGTTATAGTATGACAGAGTATTTTGATATAATTAGTTGTCAGCGTTTGATTTATCCCATTGTTGATAGTAGAACCTGAATTTTGATGAGTTTTCATTAGTATATATGCATCTTGTAAGGTTTACCTTGACATGGCTCATTTTTTATCAGTGGGATAACACAAACTATTACTACTAACATATGTATCAAACAAATTAGTGGCTATCAGAACTCAGTGGATAACGCGTTGTGAAAAATTATTATGCTTCAGTTCTAATGTATACATTAATATTAGGTTCTAGATACATTCAATTGACTAGCCTTACATACAACGAAACATGCACTTTGGATTTTAATGCTTAGCCATGTACATTGTATCTTGATTTATAAAGTGGTTGATTTATTTTTTACATAAATAGATTTTATAATAGCAACAGATGCTTTAAACTTAAATAATAAACCTTATAGTCACGGCAACTTTTATCTCACACATATTTGTTAATGTAGAGAACCTCTATTAATTACTCGTTCTTCGGAATAATTGAAAGATATTAGTATGATTGTCGAGGATTGACTTAATAATAACAAAATGTTGAGTTACGGAGATTTTTAAAAACTACTGGTTGATCTCAACTGGAGGACTATCGAATTTCGTGATAAATTGAGTATTTTTTGGTCCTTGTTTGTGACTCCTTAGTAGTTCATACTCACCACCTCAAACATAATATGCAATTCAGAACATTTATGTCCCGTGACATCTAAACCACTTAAACTATGGATTTAAATGTCAATTTAACTTTCGATAGCTCCACAGTTGATTTCATTCTGAAATGGGAACCGTAATTAAGTGACAAATTGATTTGTGTAACTCCACCAAATTATACCTAATTACTGTGTTGTATAAATTGATAATTAGAAGAAAAGATTAAGCATTGTATAATTCAACAAATAAGTTTGTAGAAAAGCTGAGGACTACTAAATACTAGAATGATTTAATTTCGTATTTAAGAAAAATATTCTAAAAAGCGAATATAAACATGTAATAAAACTAAAATTAGCAATGTAATAACTTAGAGGTGTTCTGTTGTTAGCAGTATATGTTCAAACTAATAATCATTAGATATCAGCTTATTTGAATTGTAACTATGATAGCTATGGGGCTTCGTAGTTTAGTCTTTAAACAAATGTAGTTCGAAATAAAATGTTATTTTACTGTTCAGTTTATTCAACATAACAGAAATCTGTATATAATAACGTTTAATTAAAAATGTGAACTTCCAATTAGATGCCAAAAGAGTGCATATTATCTTATAAATGTTAATGTTTTGTTTTTGTAATAACTATCAGGTTTGATGATCTCACAAGAACCTCCCGTTACCCTGAGATTGCAGTAATACCTTACTAACGAATCAGAATTTGCAAAATACATAGTTCTAAGGCATCTAATGGTTTATTCTTAACTACCTAACAGGAATAAAAAAGTTTCTATCATTTTAGGAGTAAATATTTTTACCCATATTACCTAAATTCTACAAGATAGTGATATAGCATTATAAGTCAAGCAATTTATAAATGGTTGATCTTTATTTTTTTTTAATTACTGAACTGTAAATATAAGGGTATTTACATAATCGAACGTTATATCCTTACATATGTTTGGCTTATTCATAGTAAATAAACTACAATTGATTTTTAATCTTGATATACTTTGGTTTTCTATTACAATGAGATACTTTAATATTGTTAGCAGCCTTCATAATAAATATGTTAAGCTCGAAGTTCCTAGACTCGATCTCATGTCTAGTTGTGTGTTCACTTTTAAAGAATATTCTACTTGAATAAAATAAAAGTTCATTGTTTTTTTAACTGTTGTTTAGCTATTATTAGTTCAGGATATAAAACTCTAAAAGAAAACTAGCAAATTAAAAATTATTAGCGAACTAAGTATCCGTTAGTTAGTTTCAGTTAACGTTTGATCTAAATAACTAGGTGCTTGATTTATTGCATTTTCGAATAATCAGTCAACTAATTACACAGATGAAAGTTTGATATTTTTCAACACATTATCGCCCAATTGTGTTCTTTATTGAATAATGATTTCTACCGTTATATATATATATATTATGTATAAATTACGTAGAAATGTTTTAAAATTTTTTAGTTTTTTTTACCTGAAGTAGTTCAGTATTTGTACGTGGATCAGCTACAGGATACTCGTCAATTTGATCAGCTAATGGATATGGTTCAGTCATTTTAGCAATCCATTTGACACCAATTTTTAAACGATCCGTTTGATCAATCAAATATGTATCCTAGATAGATAAAGAGTTAACGGAAACTATAAAATGGGTTACATATTTAAATGTATACAATACTTTATGACAGATGAACTTCTTATTGCATTGGGTTCTTAGTAGGCTTGAGGTTACATTCTTATTAGACTTTTTAGTGACCCCAACAAATTCTATGTAATTTGTATCCGATATATTTGAGTTAAATAGACAAATGGTAATAAATAAGGTAATCATGTTACAACGTCTAACCATTAAGTATATTGAATTCTATCATTATAATTTACTGACTAACTTATATAATTAGAGTCAAAATGAACTAAATCTTAGATATACTATCAAGAAAAGGTTTCTTTTTCGTTTTTTTCCTTCTTCCACCTGACACTTTTCAATACTTTATTATGTTTATTAAAATCATAAATGTACCTTTGTTAAACACGGAAAATATAACATAATTTCATGATGAAAACAAATGACGATTGACCATACAGTATAGTTTAAAAATTTTTTTTCTTTCGTAAACAATTTCACATTGTAGACTTTTACACAGATTTTTCATGTAAATACTTAAGTTCAAGCTCCCTATAATTTCCCTTTATTTGATGAGCTATGGAGTGTAAACCATGTCACAAACTTATTCAAATCCATCAGATGGAACATAAACAAATATATGTATAACAAGCAGACAAGTTTTCATCAGGATAAACTTACTCGAAATATTATTCGTAATGTACTAGCTAAATTCAATTCATCTTGATTGAATGGTATATTCTCTTTTATTTTGTGTAGATCACGACAAAAAGCATTACCTTCTAGTTGTAAATATCCACCTGGACTATCATAACCCGTCAGATAAGCAGATTCATTACGTTTAAAATAATCTTTAACAATCATTTCACTATTTGATAAACTTTTCTCTCGTATAAAGACAATTGGTGATAAAGTATAATTTTTATAAAATTCTTTCATAATATTTTTGGAAATTATAGTTGAATATTGATTATAGGTGCATTTACTTTCGTAATTTGGTGGATGATTTTGTGAAGTTTGATCCCAACCTTCTGAAATCCATTCATCGGTTGGATTGTATTTTAATAAAATTGATACTGGATACGTTTTATGTGGACTACAAGATATACTGTTTAAATAAAATGATAACAAACAATTATTTATTTGAATAACGTTTACAAAATTAGAGTGAAAATTAAATTTATAGTGAAATCGGTGCATTGATTATGCGATTTAGTGCTTAATGGGAGACATTAAGACCTATATCTGAATTCATGTAGGGATGGTGAATTTACACTGGTTGGGAAACCTCATGCTGAGGTGAAGTAACTATCCAGTCATATCATTTTTTGATGACAATTACTCTAGAAATGTTTGAGAAAAAGAACTTTTGCTCAGAATGTCGAAATAAATAGTGAGCTACAATTGAAATGAACATCTATGTTTGAAGTTAGTAATCAGTGTAGCATATAAAACATGTTTTTATATGCCAAAGGTGTAGCATTAACAAGCAAAGTGATTGGTTTTTAAATTGAATTATACAGGTAGGTCCAAACTATGTAGCTGAAGTTGGTGAAATAACTGCGATCATTAATTAAAGGTATTATGTGACATGCTTTGGAACTGCTACCAATGCCTCAACTATATCCACTCTAAACATATTTTCTTTCCGAAGTATATTCTTGATTGTTTATTGTTTACTATTACCATTGTTACTATTTCTAATAGGGCTACTTAGCTAAATAGCTAATTTTATTTCACTGTACTGACTCATATTTATGCCAAACTTAATGTTGATTATGAGTGACAGAGTGACTTTCTTTCATGCTCTCTAATCATATCATGAATATTTAAAATTATTGTTTTAAATATGAACTGTGTATTCTTAATTTCAGTTTGAAGAAACGTTTCTTAGCTAATAAATTTCGCTTCACAATTTATTAAGACAACTGTCATTATCGATAGCGGAATCATTTCGAGAAACATATTCAGTCGATTTCAAAATGTTAGGCAAAATCTACTTGATAGGTACCTCAACAGAGGTAATAAGTCTCTGCTAGTGCTGTTTTTGGCACTCGTCAGCAAAATGTAACTGGCTACATAGAATGAGACATTACAATTGAGCTATTTGGGTCACAACTAACATTGGTCACTATTCAGTAACTAATTCATTATAAATTATCACTAACTACATATATTATTTTCGATGATTCCTAAAAATATAATTTTTTTTCGATTATTAATGAAAATAAAGGAAGAGAATGAAATAATTATGAAAATGTCACGTAGTAAAAAAATCAATCAAGGGAATAGTGGGGAAAAATGTTAGCACACAGTTTACATTTCTCTTTTCTAAATGAAGGAAATAATCACATTTCTCAACATAACAGTTTAAAATCGGTAGGCAGAAATGATAATTTTATTCACTGAGATTTATGATGTGAGAATTATGTAATCTATGAAGAAGTTCAGACGAGTTTGGTGAATGAAACGTTGGAATTAGTTAAATTTTAATCGCTGAGATTAATTCAAATATAATTTTCACATATAATGACTTCTCTATACTTGGCACGCAAATTTTTGTCAAACTATTCGTTTTAATATTGACGAATATTTGCATAAATCAGTTATGTTGCTTTAAATTTTTAGAATACTCATTTTATTATTCTTTGCATAATTCTGTTTCTTTCTTTCTAGTTTTATACGTTTTGTTATTCGATATCTATCTCATTACTTTCAAAGGATAGTGGCTAGCGGTTGAATTCAGGGCGCGCGTTTCGTCCTATTTAGGACTCGTCAACTAGATGTACTTGCATCCCAGGGTATGCTTTTGAGAAAACAAATTAATTCAATAACATAACTGGACATTTATATCATAGGAAATATGAACTAAAAATTTATTCATTGAAATAGAGCTTATTTTAAACTCATTGAAAATTGTGATTTCAAATAATTTTTAAATAGAAAAAACCGTGAATTTTTTCTTTACTACTTAAAGTGTATAGAGTTAAGTTTTAGGGGAGACTAAATAATTTACTGATAATAACTGTGAAAAAAATTTGAAGAGAACTAATCAGGTTGCCTAAAGATCAACATGCGGACGTATACTTTATTGAAGATCCTCAATGGTTTGGAAATGATTTTGAGTAATGAAGATGCAAATCATACATTTGAATATTTTTCATAAAAATTGTAAAATGATGTAGGTTAGAATTTAGGCTTGAGACTAGGAGTTTGAATTGAAATTTAGGATTAGGATTGTCAGCACTCAATAGCTGTTAACTGAAATCTGACTGCGCCATCAGTTAAGTATGCTTTTGACGATAATCAATAAGGTACCACCAGCCTGTAGCTCTTATAGGGTTGCTGCCGGTCCCAAGCCCGGGTAAAGGAGGAGGGTTGGGCATGGGGTTAGCGTCCCCATCCCGTAGAAAACTAACTCGCTAAAAAAACGCTTACCAGAAGTAGTATAGGTGTGTATTCTAATTCAGTCAGTTAGAAAACAGAATAGATTATTGAAAATTTTAAAGAATTTTGTCGAGCACATAACAATAATAAACATAACAATAATAATACTTTCTACTTTGAATGGAATGTATTTCTTTTTGTAAACCTACATAAGACAACTAGACAAATAATGAGCTTCATTTTTTAAACAATGAATAGTTGCGAGAAAATGCTTTAAATGATCAAAGTATTATTTGTAGAACATGTTTTAACATTGGAAAACTAAATTTTTAAAAATCATTCCATGTATAGTTTCGAAAATAGTTTCGTTGATAATTGACTGTTTAACTGCCTGGAGCCCCTCTGGGACTGCTATCGGTCTTAAACTCGGATAAAGAAGGAGAGGTAGGCATGGGATTAGCGACCCCATCCCATAGAAAAGTAACTCACTAAAAGACACTAAACAGAAAAAAACTATTCAAACCATTTAAACTCTGCCCAGGGAGTAAGAAGTTCTTCATTGAGAAGAGTTATGACGTTCCATGATGAAAGCCGAGTAAGATAATTAACTATTTGTAATATTTTGATAGGAATTGTATATCCTTTTGTGTTAGCTAAGTAGTGACGACTACTTTATACATGGGTATGGTGATGACATATAGTACTTATTTACAGAAAATAGTATTCTCAAAATTCTTTTTAAACCAAGTCGATAGTATAAATTTTAGTATCAAATTATATAATATACTTGAAAAGCAACACAAATAAAACAAATAAGAATTTCAATTTTACATTCAGACGAAACCACACATATTCAATGACTGAATGAGTAGTTTTACACCTGAAAAACGTTAATGTGACCAAGATTACCTCTTTTTGGGGATTTTAACGTTTCTTAAATAGATAATAATTTATAATCAGTTTGATTATCATATACGAGTATTTTGGAAAATATAAAAAAATGTTTTGGTTTTTCAAGTGGTGATTTTATATTAATCTTTTCTCCAGAAAGATACGCATCATTTTTTAAAATAATTATTACGTCATGCATCATGAAAGTAACTATTGAAAACTTAAATTAAGTTTTCAGTGTTTTAGAAGTTATTTTTTTGTTGATATGTTGGAATGATTCAGAAGATTTCTTGCAAAAGACAAGCAGGCATCAGGAAACCCTAAGAAGCGTTTCATCCAGTCAGCGTTCACTTGACGTTTTAGCTAAAAATATCAAAGAAGTGAAACGTCACATGCATAGGTTCTGATTGGTTGGTTGCTACACTGCTATGTTTAGTAGCATTCCAGAATCTTCTAGCAACCCAAGGACATTTAAAATATAATAAAAACCCTGCATTTTCTGTATTGAAATAAACCTTGGAGTAAAGTACTTCTCGCATACTTTGAGTCTTCTCTCTCGTTGTTCAGGTCGCTGTATAGTTACAGATATAGCTTAGGAAACGAATATAGCGTTCAATTCGCAAGACTTATCATGATATTATTGACTGGATTTTGATCACTTTTAGTCACGATATGTAGATCCTGTGAGGATTGTTTCAATATAGACATTCTGTCACAAAATTTACAGAAAATATGGTTTATGGCTAGCAATAGAGTCTAGAACGCGCATTCCATCCTATTTAAAACTGATCATCTGAAAGTGCCTGTATGCCAGCTTTGATATGAGTAACTACTTGAACTCAACGGCTAAGAGAATAACGCGTTTGGAGTTTAAAGAGGAAGATATTGGTTTAGAATCCCACAGTGAATGTTAACTACTATGTGAGTACCTTAATCTGACGAGTCGCGAATAGGACGAAACATGCGTCCAAGACTCCACTGATGAACAGAATTCATCTCTTCTATAGAACACTGAAAATATGTATATGTATATGTATAAATAAAGTGATGTATAATTCAAAATTCTATCAGATTCAGTGCATTATTTGAATTAATTATCGAAATGTTTTCAAAGGAATGAGAAGAAGAATTAAAAGCCATCAAACAATAAAGGAGGGCAAACTCGATTACGGAATTCATAGACTGATGTAATTTATTTCTAATTATGTGCGATATTTCATTGATTTCCACAAAAAATTACTAAACAAGGTAAATGAACAGTTTATACATATAATTAAATGATATATTTAATTATTAAATGAATAATACATATAGTATTTGTAACTTACCCATCAACACTGGTGTATGTGAGAATTAATTTCATATCAATACATTTAGCCGACGGAGCTTTATATCCAGTAATCGATTGAGCTTCATGAGTACAATCCACTAATGAATTTAATGAACTAGGCAGAGTAGTACTACCATCCATTAATGTTAAATATGCTCTTAGCCTGCATAAATAACAAAAATACTTTAATAATATATGGATAGTGAAATTAGAAAAAAAACCCAGTGAAACATTTGAAAAAGATATTTTTCACTTGAAACGCCTGTTAATAATTTCAGCGCAAGATTTCTTGGTGGAGATTTATGTCAATCCAGAAACTATGAATCATAAAAGTAGATCTTGTAGAATTCTATACAGAAATGATGGACTGACTGACTGTATTTCAAGCAACATTTATTTCTTAAGTGAAAACACTCAATACAATGTTTCGAACAATCGGGATTAGATTTTGCACAGTTTACATCACGAACTGATCTCAGTTAAATAGCTGTTGAATGCTGGGAAGCACTAGAAAGTTATCACTTTCAAAAATGGCACTCTTCTATTTAGGACCCCACTGGGATTCAGAATTAGAGGCTGCAGGTCTCGCTCCAATCTCATGACCTTTAGACTATTCTATTAAAGCTCTGAGAATTAATTATTGAAATTAGTCACTAATGGACATATGATTATTAATAGAAATGATTCATTTAAAAATAAAATAGAAGTACTTAGTTTTCCATAGTGTGTATTTACCATTCTAAAACCAACAACTGACAACTATCAGTTAGTCGTTTTTGTTCTTGAAAGAATAAACTGATAATGATTTTCTGATTTATGAATAAAAATCCTTTATATAAAGATCGATCTCATGTAGTGTAGATGAATGTAATACAATCTCGCAAGCTCTATATTTATCTATAAGAAAATGTTTAAGCTTTGTAATTCACTTATCCAATTAATTTCTGTTGACATCTAACAGCAGTGTTTGCATGATTTAAATTGAAGTTTTCTAACATCGAGGAAGACCATTAAACCTATATATGTAATACAATAAAATTCGTGGCTGAGTTTTGTACCATTTAGTAGGAACAAGGAATGTCGTTTGACAATTCGTTTATTTTGTAACCAGTCAGATAAAAAACCATCAGATTGTCAGTGTATACCATATTGAGAGAAGTCAGGAATAAGCAATTGTAGTTATTGATTATCACCATAGTGGTCAGCCTAAGTTACCATACATCATCGCTTCGACAAAATGAAATTAGCAGAGTAAATAGTAAGGAACTTGAGATAAGTTTAGTAGAAATTATAGTGAGAAAGACTGAACATTAAGAATATGACTCAGGAGAGAGGAATGATAAGGTCACATAGTCATTTAGTTTCATTGACTAAACTGTAGAGATCAATTATATATATATATATATATATATATATATATATATATATATATATATATATATATATATATATATATATATATATATATATATATATATATATATATATATATATATATATATATATATATATATATATATATATATATATATATATATATATATATATATATATATATATATATATATATATATATATATATATTAATAGTTTAATTCACGAGTCGATCTCAGATAAACAACCAGTGAGAACCTGGAAGCAGTGGACGGCCGTTTTGTCCTAGTATGGGGCTCCCCAGCAGTGCTCATTAGCGATCCTGCACTTCATATTCGAACCCATTACTATCTGTCTCACGCGCAAACGCTTAACCTATGAAACACTGGTCCGGTGTCTAACACTGTTAACGTTTAACTTCAATCGATCCATGATCTTGCGCAACCATTCAAACATTATCTGAGGTGGATAATTGTCTCACACTTGACACGGATTGGACTCCGTTGGTCACGGCTTCTCACTAAAATTCTAAGAAATCCATCTTGAAGCTGGTCAAATATTGTATATTTCGCGTACACCCTACATCATAATAATGTATTGAGTTTATATTGAAATTCTTTTGAAAGTAAGTACATCCAATGTCATAATAAACCATAAACTTTATGTTTATATAGCTAATTTCGGCAATTTTTACTCGGCGCCCAATTTCTGTCAGACTATTAGTTCTAATCTTGACGAATATTCATACAAATTTTTACTTAAATTATTAAGTGAAATATCAAGAACATATAACGTGAATTGCTTCATTGATTTTTGGATAGACGTTGAAAACCTAGATCCTAAAAATCAAAGATAGACGTGATTGGAGAATTTCTTGTTATTTCACGTTAATGTGTAATAAAAAATTAATGTGTAAATAAAAAAACCGTAAAACAATTTCACTCTAAAGGAGATTACTTGACTACAGGTCTAGCTCGTAACACTGCAACAGAGCTAGACAAAGCTGCTCCAATCGCCATATCCGGATAACCATTTTCATCCAAGTCGGCACCATTCAATCCAAGTGAAAATCCGAATCCTTCTAATGGTCTTGGACTTTGCAAATCATTTGCACAGATTATCTATGTCAATTTCAATAATAGAAATAAGAAAATATGACACCAAAATCTCACACAAAACAGTAAATGTACAAGTTGTGATATCCTAATGAGTAGAAAATTGTATTTCGGACGTTTTGTGACGTAATGTCAGCCACTTCTTCAGAGTAAATAAATAAATAGCATATTTTCTATAAACGTTCTACTCAATGTTCAGTTTACTTGAAACTATCAAGTTCAACCTTGGCATTGATACCTACAAACTAACGCAAATCATTTAAGCTTTTAACGTTGACAGACAGTTTACACCCCTACATCTGTACCAAATAGCAATGAGGGACAGTAAAATCAATTATAGATCAATCAGTGACATCAAGGCAATTTCCCTGCAGTCTTACAGATTACTTGAATTATATCACCTATAATATGTAACAATTACAAACCCAATACAGTCACAAAGTTGATCAGTACAAAATTTCAGTCCTAAAAGAAGGATATTTCGAATGAAATAAAATCTGTAACGGAAACATTCTAAAACTTTGAGAACATGTAAGTATCATTCGACAACTTTACAAAGTACTTTATTTTTTTTTAAAAAACAACTCCAAAAGCACATCAGAGCAGCACACATAATTATTAATTATGAATTGATGAAATTTAGGGTTCTCTAAGAATTTCTGTAAAAAATTGTTCTATTTTGTATTCTTCTAGACTACTAACTGAGTTATAATCATAATCTTGTTTTCTAAATATGTTGATGTTTATCCACGTAGTAATAAGAACCGGTTTTGAAAATAAAACAATTCAATATCATGATAGATCATGTATGAAACTGACGGTATTGAGGAAGATTAGGGTGAGATAATGTCTACTAATCGGTAACTGATCGGTCCATCACCTGTAAGAGACATTTCCTAATAAAAAACTATAAGAATAATGATTCTATGACAGAATCGATTATTGAAAGCTTATGTTGTGATGTGTGCTACTGGTATTGACAGATATAAGTAGTATGTATCGCCAATCGAAAGTGAAATGCCTGCTGGCAGAAGGTTAAGCAGTTCGAAGAAAAGAGAATGAGAACAGTGAGTGATTGTTGTGGAAATCAAAGAACAGGGAAGTCTGAGAAGATTGATTGACATTTGCAAAAGGAACAATCAAGTTTGAGACAATTTGTTGACATTTTGTAAATGAACTATTTACTGTACGATTCTCAGATTTTACTAAGATGTTCTGTAATATTGTGTTCAAACACATTCGATTGTCTCCACTTGTGTTCTCGTTCACTACAGTATTTGTGAAAAAACATTTTTACCATTGAATCAGAAAAGGTATTTCGTTTAAAAACACTAAGAAATACAACAGTTAAAATGTGAATAATCTATTGGCTAACTGCAGTTATTTGGTTCACTCATTTCAGTTTTCTCTTAAAACTAGTCCAATAAATCCATTAAAGAAACAACCCATGAGATGTTGACCTCAAAATAGTCTAAAAACGATAGATCAAATCAAACAAAAACACGAGTTACTGACCTTCGTTTCAAAACCATAAAACACATTTATTGACGTACTACACATTCGACACCATTATATAAACTTGCTGTTTTCAATAAGGAGAGCTTTTAGATGTTAGAATAATTAAATTGCGGGCAAATGAGTGTGAGCCAAATAGTCTTAGCTTTTGACTAACTCTGATAAAGCCATTCTAGTTTTCCTTAACTTTATGTGTATATTTTGTTTCAAGAGTAGATTTTCAGTGTGTTATTTATTACACCATGTTCTAGAAGTTTGTATCATGGTATCTAAGGTTTTCTTTAATGAGGACACAGTTTATTGATTATCATTTATGACGGCTAATCAAAACATCAAGGTTAAATTGATAATCAGTAAACTGTAGTCTATTTGTTTGTAAAACAATTAATTTTAATTTGTTATGATTTGAAACATTATGAAATAGTTTATTAATTGTTTTAATTAATTTCATCAGTTTACTATGACATTAAGAAGTAAGCATTATTTAAATAATTTATCAGTATATGTGACAATCAATGGATAAAGTTTGTGGCTAAATTCTACTTGTATGTTTATCATAATTTACAGACAACACACGGCATAAATCTTCCGAAAATTAAGAAATATTTATGTGATAGCAACTAAGTTAATTGACAGACTTTTCAGTGTGATAAGACGGTGGTTGGGGTTAGTCAACAGGAAACTCTGAACCTAGGTTTCGTGCTATTTGGTACTCGTCAGCAAGGTGTACCTGCAATCTTGAGGGAACTGATGCTCCCTAATGGATTCGATCCCGTATCACCCAGCTTCACAGTCAGAGACGTTATCACTAAGCTATCCGGGCCGCGACTAACCTCTTGTTGGACTGAGATTTATTTACAAGTGCCAAGTTGCACGAAACCTAGGTTCAGGGTTTCCTGTTGACTACCTCCAACCACCATCGTATCTCAATATAGTGCACGCAATGTCGAATCACACAGACTAGTGGCTACACTGCAACTTAGTCGATAGGATTCGGTCTGCACTAAAAAGGACATACATGACATTGATCACCACCCAGTGATCAATCAATTGTAAATTTTTACTGTCAATATTTCAACTTATATCGGACTAATGAATACACTTCCAGGTAATATATATTGAACTGATGATGGGATAAACAGTAGTATTCATATGGTTTTGTTAGGTGTTAAACTATTTTTGAAGACATGAATTTCAGCTAATTATTAATCAATAAATTAAGCTTGAAAACCAGTAAGAAACCTATGAAAGCTACTCTACCAAGAACGATGACTTCAATTTTAGAGTAATTTGCTTCCTATCAATAAGTCATAGGTTGTAACCCTACTTTGTCCAGTTTAGTTTATGCAGTCCTATAGAATGATTATTTCTCACACAAATAACATGGTTCGAAGCTGACTAAATAAGTTTGAACTTGTTTGTTGTGTTATATCAGTAATCAAATGAACTATGAAAAGATTATGATGATGATCCGATAATTTAAGAGTTCAAATCTATGGAAACAATAAAGTTCTATAAAGTATTAGTTGTTACTTACTTTAACATTTACTAACTGTTTGACTGATGTATAACTTTTACAGTATAAGCATTCATATTTAAACAATTAGACATATAAATTAAATTCACCGATTGTTTATCTATTCATTCGGTAAAATGTGTCAAAATAAATTAATTGAAAACAAAAAGTATAGTTGAATATCATTTTACAAAAGTAACACATCTTATTCAATAAATGAATAATTAAATTGTACACATTATTCATACAAACAAAAATCAAATTGATACTACTGAATAAAAAAAAACAAAAACAAAATAGAATTAAAACATTGAAAGACTGAATTTGTTGTGTAAATATGTGTGGGTTTTTTATGTGGAATGAAATTTCAATGGTTAAGATCATGAGTCAGTTGAAGCTAGACCACCATGGGAAACCTGGAAGCACTGGGACTCCTCAACAGTGCGCATCCATGACCGCGTCCCTTGCGAGATTCGAAATTACTATAATGTCCACAAAACCCATCTGATATTAATCAACATATGCTCACTAGTGACTGGCTTCAAGAGGTATATCTTGGAGTTCTAGTGAGAAGTAGTGACGAGTGAAGTTCAATCAGGTCTGTTGTGAGATAGTAACTCACTGAAGACAATGGTGGATGTGTCGCTCAATTTCGTGGATTAATTAAATTTAGACATTAACAACATTGGATGCCAGCTCAGTGGTGTAGTGGTTAATTGCTCACTCGCGAAACCAGTAGGTCCTGGGTTCGAATCTCGTAGGGGGCGAGGTCGTGGATGCGCACTGCTGAGGAGTCCCACAATAGGACAAAACGGCCGTCCAGTGCCTCCAGGTTTTCTATGGTGGTCTAGCTTCAACTGACTCATGATCTTAACCATTGAAATTACTATAATATCCACAAAACTTATCTGATAGAATAAAATTATTTGTAATTTGATCATTTATTTAATGACTATAATGAGTGTAAACATTTTTTCAATTTTGCTAGACTATTATCATTTAAGTTTTTGAGCGATAAGCTGGTTATTGTGTACTGTTTGACAGTAGTGATGTATTATATTATTATTCTATATGTAAAAAGAAAAATGCAAGACTTAATTAATTAAATGTATTCTGTGGATGATGAAACTTCTTGTCTAATGGTAACGAATAAATAGTGAGGACAAAAAGTCAAACTTTTCCGATACTACTTAGATCATATTGGATTTAGTTTGTCAAAAAAGAAAAGAAAGTACTTAGAAATGTATTTGATTTTGAATTGTTATATCTTATTGATTGTGTTTTAAACCTCCTTAGATGTCAAGTAGTTATTTGTATTACTTTTGGTTTATGATTAATGCATAGTACTAAATAATTGGCGGCTAGTGTAGTTTAACAACGGCATTATTTCGAACTCGTTTGTTTAAATAATTATTTTTTGATTGACTTGATTTGATCATAGTTTATGTACAAGTTAGGGCAAAGAGATATTCTACGGTTGTTAGATTTTATGTTTTTTAGCTTTGACTAGTTATAATTAGTTATGATAACACAATAAAATCTTACTAATGATCTTCATATTATGCTAATCCGTAATTGTGATATGGTTATGATTGAATCATTGAGAGCGAAAGAACACAACCTGCTTTATTTCACAGTCCTTATCTAGAATTCTTTGCAATGGAACTACATTTTCACTTGATTGTTAACCGTGATTATTTTAGCAATTCTGATGGTATAAGCAATGATGCAGACAATTTAGTGATCAATTCTTATGTAAGTAATATGAGATTCAGTGGTTCAGCTAAAATATTATAATTGAGATGATTTAATACAATGAAAATGCAAACTGAAGACAAGTTTTGTAATGGAGAGCATTTATACGATGAATTAATATGAAAATTCTGCAGACGTCTCTACTCGTTTGTACTTGTGACTAATAATTATGACATTTCAATTTATATTGGTTACTTCGTACTCATTCAGTTGACTAATT